CCCCCTCCTCCAGCCTACCCCCTCCCCCCCACCCCTATTTACCAGCTTCAAGTTTGGCTCCAGCTCCCTGCTGCAGTGGGTGGGGACTGTCCGAATCTTTGGAAGGCTAATTCTTTGGAAGGCTAATTAGTTGCCAGGTGAAAAGGCAACTTTGGAAGGCTAATTTTTGTAAAGAGGTGAGTGTGGTATGCAAGTAAATACAAGATTTAGTATTCTCATCTGAAAGACTATTATGGTGAGTTTCTTGTAGTCAAGAACAGTGCAACAATCTAGCTAAGCCAGGTGTAATTGCTGAATGTAGGCAGTAAACTCCTTATGTCACAGAGTTTGGGAGGCAGACTAAATTATACTGACAGACTGGAAAGCAGCTTGTTTATGCATATAAATACGTTATTTATGAACATATTTACATGCACACACAAAGTGTGTGTGTGTGTAAGTGCATATACATAAGTATACCTAGCTCAAAAAATAAGCTTTTCTCATTTATGATTCAGAGACTATAAAACTGATATTTGCATTTGCAGAGGCTGTTGGAAGTTGCTTGGGAGAAGTGGGTCCTATTGACTTCTCAACCATAGCTCTTCAGCATAGTAAAAATGTATCATATTCTAAGGCAACTGATTTATTTGAAGATAGAAAACTTCAGTTGGTATTCATAATGCTGACTCAAATAAATAATGCCTTGATTGATGTTTGGTAAGTACATGCTTGATTCAGTACATAAAATGGGCCACTGGGAAGAAAGCAAGTTATTAAAATATATATATACATTTGCTTGTTAATGACCAGTAATTTTCCAACTTTGTTTTTGCATCTAAGCAACAGTGGGTTACACAGCTGAAACAATAAATGATACCGTAGGACTCATCACATCCTGGAATTCTTCCTGTAGGGCTGTGTAATCTGATGGGATTGGTTATTTGACTCTCTTCGCACTGTATTGGTGGACCAGGAACACTTGTGTAGCATTGTTCATACTACATATTTCTAAACATCCAGAGACTGGTTCAATAACAAGACATTATATTTTTTCTAATATTTATATAATAAACTTAATTGATTTTTTTTTTTATTGCACCCCATAAAACAATGAATTTAGTAAGCTATATGGGCTTCAACTTGGAGCAATACCCCACAGGGAAAGATGCTAGAATTTAAGCTGTTAATGCTTTATCAGTGGACCCTTGATTTTCAAGTTATTTATGCAGTCAAGCTCTGACCTCTTGTTGGGTTGGATTTAAGCTAGATAATTCTTTTCTCTGCTCTGATGTTTAGTTCTGCCCAATGCAAATGGGGATATTTGTGTTACAGTAATGGAACCAGTCTTACATATACCTTTCTTCTGGCTTCTATTAGCCTTTGGTCATGTTTTAATGATTATTCATAAAATAATTTCACAGTCTGTACTTCTTTATTATGAACTTTATAGAACTATTTTTATTAAATACTTGTTAATCAGTTATATTTATCTTTCAGTATTAATGTTCGCTCTGCTGCTGCTTCCTGTTTGAAAAACATTTTAGCGACAAAGACTGGTAACAAATTTTGGGAGGCTTACAAAGACAAAGCTGATCCCATGTTAATATATCTACATCCTTTCAGAATGTCCAGGAAGAAGGTATTTCTGTTAGTTTGTGTACAGCTTGCAATAATGAGAACCAATTACAAATATAAAACTACTGTAAACAAGTAAATATTTCTGGAGACCAGTATTGTTGAATCTAGAAAAGGTTCTTAAAGTAGTGTATCTTGATGACAGTACATGATAGATTGCTTTTGTAACTCTCTTGCCAGCTTATTTGTTTTTTGTGCCTAATATTGACTACTGTGAGCTCTCCCATTGACTAAAAGATCTAATAAGTAAATTGTTTACAAGATTAGTTTCTTAGTTCGAAATAAGCTATGCTATGGGTCTTTCATTATTGTCCTGGAGAAATTACCATCCCACCATCAGGAAGTTCTGAGTATGCATTTATGAAACAGTTTTTGTTTACCTGATAATATTTTTCTGCAAGATGCCTGCCTCATTTAGTGCCCCGTATCAAGGCATGAGATGGCAGAACCAACATTATATAGATACCCATTAATCTGTTATTTCTAAGATTTCAGACACTGGATTTTGTAGCATTAAAGTATTTCTTGATCTCAGGAGAGAGAACTTATTTTCAGCATTTCTAGATTTTCTTGATTTTAAATGCACAACTTTGCATTTACAATAACTTATTACATAATGTAAGCTAACCTTGACTGTATGTTTCATCTAGACAGACTGTGTATTGTCTGCTTCATTTTGTTGAAAAGCTACACTTTTGTAGTAGTTCCTTTTTTTTTTTTTTTTTTTTTTTTTTTTTTTTTTTTTTTTTTTTAAAAAAAAAAAAATTTTTTTTTTTTTTTTTTTTTTTTTTTTTTTTTTTTTTTTTTTTTTTTTTTTTTTTTTTTTTTTTTTTTTTAAGACAAACTAAATATCTTTGTTCTTACAAACACGTATTTTTGTTAGTTTTTGGAAGTGCCAGACACTGAAAAAGAGACTCCTTCAGAAGCCACAGATGATGCAAATCTGTGGATTCCTCAGGGTGTAAGTCATGAGACTTGGATAAAGAACCTGACTTGTTCATTGCTGAATGGTGGAGGAGTGAAAGACGAAGTTCTTCTGTTACTAAAGCCAATGTGTGAGGTGAGCTCCTTTGTGTACTGTAGCTCCAGGCAACTGTGTTAAACTTAATTATGACCCCTGTTAATATTTGATATTGTTTTCTGGTGATAAGTAGATTTTTCCTTTGTTTACAGATAGGAAGACATAACCAAAATATTCTTTCTTGATGGGCATTCAGGTACCTCAGTGAACTACACCTTAGAAATGCATATAAATATAGGACTTGCCTAGAAATTTGGGACTAAATTATTAAGACTGTTACCATGCAAGTATAACCAAAACAGCCTGATAATAGTGACTTGTATTAAGTTAATTGTAATGAATATTTTCCTTTCTTTTTTCTAAGGTATAAATTTACATGCATTTCTTAAATCCATGATTTCAGTGAAAGGGGAAAAGGTGTAAATATAACTTTTATAGATCAGGTTTTTTTGAACTCTTGCTTTGTTGAACACATTTGACCTATTTTGTGTCAGGTGGTTTATGATATTTATTTTCCATTTGCTGTTCAGTATGTTTTAAATTGGCCAGGAGACCTTGATTGTATTAACAAAGAAATGTGGTTTATCAGCAGCTGATTTTGTGCGTCTGTGATTCAGGTGAAAACAGACTTCTGTCAGACTTTGCTTCCGTATTTGATTCATGATATCCTGCTTCATGATTCAAATGAATCTTGGCGCAACCTTCTATCTGTACATATCCAGAGGTTTTTCACAACCTGTTGCAGATGTGTGTCATCCTCTAGTAGATCAACGACACCTGCAAATTCAGATTCAGGTAATGGCATAATGTTTTTCTTTTTATTTTATCATCAGCAATTTACAATGCATATTCACTTTTTTTCTCTCTTTTGTAATATACATTTTAGAACCAGAATCCCTTGTTCGTAGAAGTTTGGATAAAATATCTCAGCGAACAATGCTTACTGTTGTTGACCACCTGAGAAGACAAAAAAGGTGAGTTGTATCACTCTTTAAAATTTACTTGGATATATTGCTTGCTTTAACCTGCTATTCTAGGATCTATTGATGTTCTCGATGGACAGAGAATATATGCACCCAAAAAAGGATCTCACTTAAATAAGTGTTAGAGTGATGTTGTATCTTTGATTATGGAATTATGCAAGTGTATGCAACTGTATATAGTTGGTCCAATAAAATATATTATCCTAAGAAATCTTTTCCTCTTAAATAAGTGTAAACGGAGATCAAACTGTTGCAAATAAGATATATACAGTAGTGAGACTTCATTTAAATACAAGCCTAGGAATGTTGGACATGTTAGAAGGGCTGTGGAAGAATGCAGTTTTTAAAACCATTTTGTCTAGAAGTGCCCAATAGAGCATTCATGTATTTCTTAGAGATAAAATTATACTGGGGTTGTATATGTAACAGGAGGGCAGTCGGGATCGCTGTGCTCTCCCCTGCTGCCTCCTTTACCGTGCCAAACTGCTGTCCCGCACCCTCCAATTCTCACCCGCCACAACTTTGATTTTATATATTTCTATAGGGAGGCTGCCTTCCGTCTTCTTGGCCACGGTTCTCCTGTCTCGGGTGTTCCGTACACCCCAGCCTTATGGGCTATGCATGGCTCCTACCACCCCTGTACCATGCCCCAAGCCTCGCAGGTGTAACGGACGTTGTTCTGTCTCTCTCTCTCTCTCTGTCTCCATGCCCTCTCTGGCGCTTGGGCTCTCCGCAGCCCTGTCTCTCTCTGTGCCCTCTCTGGCACTCGAGCTCTCCGCGGCCCTGTCTCTCTCCGGGGCCTTCTCAGTAGTGCCACCCTCTCTCCGGGGCTCACCACGCCCGCACTGGGGCTTCTCAGCAATGCCCCCTTCTCTGGGGCTTCTCAACTGCCCCTCTCTGGGGCTAGGGTCTGTACATCCCGAATGCTGCGCCCTCACTGGCACTGGGGTCCCCACTCCGCTGTGAGTCCCCTATGAGGCCTCCTCCATCCCCTGATAGCCTCACCCAAACCACCGGTGTAACAAATAGCAACACAAACACAAGCCCCTGGGCTATAACACAAACTGCAGCCGCCCGGCTATAACCACTCCCAAGCCTACCAGGGGTTCTTCATCCCGCCGCAGTGACAGATGCTGCTTCTGCATCAGGCTTCTCTTCTCTTTCCTGGCAGGGAGGTCCTTTCTCCCTCGCTGCTGGTAGGGAACTGCTGCCTGGCCTCCTGCCTGTGGTTTTTATAGGAGCCAGGCCCTGCCCTTTCTTGTTAGCTGGCTAGGCAGGTGTGGATCATTAGCTCCCTCTAGTTGCCTCAGCAACCGGCACCTGAGGAGTCTTCCCGGCTCTCTCAGTAGCAGTCACCTTAGTGCCCTGCTATAGTATAGTTTAAAGCACTTGTAGTAGATTTATATTGTTAAATGTAATATCACAAAGCAGTCCTAGTACATCAGTATTAATGCTGTATTTCAATAGATCTCTTTCAGGTACCATTTTTGATGACAGCTTCTGGTTGGATCTAAATTATCTTGAGGTTGCCATGGCAGCACAGTCTTGTTCTGCTCACTTCACAGCCTTACTCTATGCAGAAATCTATGCAGACAAGATAAACACAGACAAACAACAACAAAGGTACTGGGCTTGAGGAACCTAGGTTCTCCACATTTCTACCAAAACAGCCTATATTGTGGGTGTTTTATTGTGAAATGTGTATCAGGGAGATGCATTCTTTTAAATCCTTGGAAAAATGTCCTTGCCCTGAGAGTGTGCGTCTACCAAAGTTTTGCCAGCCCTTACAAATTGGTAGCTATCTGATGTTCAGAATTGCAGCATTCTGATTACCCACCAGAATACTTGAAAAGCTGTTCCCAGGATAGTCTGGTATCTTGGGAATAGCTAGAGACAAAAGCTAATGTATTCTACTGTCCGCAAGGCTTCCTTCTCATGTTCCAGAAGGGAAGGTGTGTTCAAAATCTAACCCTAATAGTTAATGAGAGATTAGCTGCTAAAATTGTATCAGAAATGAAAAGGCGTTAAAACAGAATGGTACTCAGCATGGTTTTAGCATTCAGTGTCCTGTGATATGCATAATATAGAAGTGAAGGGGGTATGTAAAGCTTTTAATCATCTCCTTCAGTCTATCAGTCCTTTTTTAACACTGCTACAAGGCTGAAAGTAGCAAATTCTGTACTTTGGATGAGAATAAATAATAAAGGAGAATTGAAAGCAGTGAGCAAGAGAATATTAGAATCACAGAAAAGTAGGGCTGGACGGGCCTCAAGAGGTCATCTCTAGTCTAACTCCTTGCTTCAGGCAGCAGTATCCCTGTCTAAATCATCCTAGACAGTGTTAGTGTGATCTATTCTAGAAAACTTCAGGAACTACCCTCATGCAGAGATACCTGTCATAATGCCCAAAACATCCAATACATCCTTTAACTTGCCATGCGTAAAGCAAAGAGATGGAGGGCAGTGTCAGTTTCCTGCCTTTGTGAAGACAGAAAGTTGTTTGTTAAAATAAACTCAACCAATCCCAGGAGAATACCCCCGAGATGTAAGCATAGATGTACTGCAGTTTTTGTTACCGTTTCCAAGCAAGACCAAATGCTTACTTTTGGCACACAAAACTATACCTATCAGCAGCTTGATGCAATGAGAAATGTAGATGATTCTGGAGTAAAATACTTCTGTATTAACTGTTACAGATGAGAGAAATTGCCTTAATGTTGAAATCCCATAAGTAACTAAAAATAGTTAAAAAGAAGCAATCTGCTTGAGAGCATATCCGTGGCCTCTCATGTCCCCTTGGTTTTGCTGCATTTAGATAGCACCTGAAGAACCTCCACTTCATGTAGGATTGATGTCCCCAGCCTACTCTGATGCCCTACTTGCAGCAGAGGCCATTCTAGGAATGTGGAGATGCAATGAGGTTGGGCTAGCACACTGGGGATATGGCTCATCATTTCAATATCTGTGTCCTTTAGTGTCAGCTTTCAGTTAATTCAGCATGTTTGTTCCCCTCCTCCTAGATCAGCTTTGAAAGCTTCCAAAAATTTAATGTTTGAAGAAGGAAGTCAAGATCCAACTATTGCCCGTTTGAGTGAGAAAAGTAGAGAAGAAACTGGAATAAGTTTACAGGTACAGAGTACTATCTCCCTCACACAAAGTATTATCTAATCTCAGAGTAAACCTTCCTGATGAAGTAATTAGTACATCATTTTCCATCTGATTTTCATCAACATTTTAATGAATATTTTTGATCTGTTGTATATCAAAGTTATCTTTATTGAACTGAGTCCTCAAGAATTCATCAGGCCATGCTTATGACTAGCTCATCTTAATTACTAAGGAGGCAAATGTACAAAGCATAGGGAAACAGTTTTTACCCATAAAAAGAACTGATCACAGTGGTTATATTTGACTTTTTTTTTATTCCAGAGAAGTTGCTATGTATGTTAGTATTCAGTAAGCAAGGGGGGAAATTGCATTGCAGTGAATTGTAAAATCTTATGAACAGAGCTGTCAAATCAACATAGCTTGACTAGTGTTACATAATAGGACACTGCATTCAGATCATGTTGTACAGATCTATTTATGAATCTAGTCAGTAATCACTCTGTGACCATATACTTCTTTCTTTCTAAACCATATTCATTTCATCTCTGTTAAAAACACAATTCTTTGGTTTTGTCTGATACAGATTCATTTTCTGCTACCTTCCACTTTACTCAAAACATAAAAACTGGCACTCTCTCTCAGATCAGTAGCCCTACAACACTGTAGGACTGCTGATCTGAAAGGGTTCAACACTGGAGTTCCTACTGGAGAGCAGAACTCTATATTCTTCCCTCTGATCACAGGGGTGGAGCTGTTGCATAAACCAGGCATAATGAGGCATTGGTAAACAAATTGTGGGTTCATAATGAAGACAGAGATATTTGCCTGCTGCAGGTAACTATGCTTCGAAATCATTTATGAAATTATGGTGGGTTTTTTTTGTGATGTGTGTCTTAGGATCTTCTCATGGAAATATACAGAAGTATAGGAGAGCCTGATAGTCTCTATGGCTGTGGGGGAGGAAGAATATTACAGCCTTTAGCCAGGTATGGTTTATTAATTAATGTATTGATTTTATTTGCTAGTAAATCACTTGAAATTTCAAAACTACTTTTTTATGTGTAACAGGATAAGAACATATGAGCATGAGGCCGCATGGGGAAAGGCCCTTTTAACATATGACCTTGAGGCAAGCCTCCCTTCGTCTGTGTGCCAAGCAGGAATAATAGAGGTAAATCAGTCCCTTAGTAAGAGAATCAGTGGGGACTGTAGGGTATTCTTTGTTTCATTAAGGTTGAAACTAATCTAGCAAGGAATTCAAAACAAAGTGAACCTCCTAACTTAATGATGCCCAACTCAACCTGGCTCGCAGGCCAGATGAGTGTTACAGGGCCAGTCTGAAGGCTAAACCTGGAGCTGGAATTTGGTGGGAGCACAGTATTAATTGGTGTGGCTCCTGGAGCTGCAGCTATTCCCACTGCCAAATTTCCAGGCCTGGAAGCAGGTGACACAGCTCTGTGCCCAGACCCAACCCACAGGATGAATGGGCAGTGCAGGGCAGGATGGGTGGTGGTAGCATTTATTGCCATTGCTCCTAGAGCTGCCCACACTCCCAAGTTTCCAGACCTGTGAGAAGCCCTACAGGATAGATCTGGCCCATGAGCCAGATTTTAGATAACCTGGGTCAGGGATTACAAGTCCTTTCACTTGTTGTCATAGACAACCATGTAATGTGATACCATTCATAAACTCAATCAGGCTTCATTCTGAAAATAGTTAGATTACTGTCTGCAACTGTTGGAAAGTTGTTCCAGAATCTCACTCCTCTGATGATAAAAACCTTCTAATACCCATCCTAAATTTATCCACGGATGGATTATACCCATTTGTTCTTATACCAACATTGTCCTTTAGTTTAAATATTTCTTTACCCTGCCTGATGTTTAACCCCTGACGTAATTATAAAAAAAATCTTATTTCTGGGCTCATTAAAGTTCTTTTAATTTCCTTCTGTAAGGTAGGCTGTTCATTCCGTAGTTATCATAACAATACTTCTCTGACTCTGTTTCCAGTTTGAATAATTTCCCTTGAATATGGATGACCATAATTGTACACAGTGTTCCAGATGAGGTTTCTCAAATATCTTTTTGAATGGTATTGATAGTTTTGAAGCAACTCACCTAGGGTTGCATTTGGCTTTTCCATGGTTGCATCATATTGGTGGGTCACAGTCATCCTGTGATCAGTGCACCAAAGTCTTACTCCTCCGGTGTCGTTCCAACTGATGAGTCTCCAGCTAACTGTAGAAATTCTTATAAGACCCCCAAATGAACAAACTTTCATTTTGTACCATTACATTTCATCTTATTTCTAGCATATCTGTTTTCAAGTTCATTCATTTGTTTCTATATGACAGTCTGATTCTCTCCCACACTGGTGCTTCCTCCCAACTTTGGGTTCAGCAAATTTCATTTGTTCCAAGATTAATAAAGACAATCCCCAAACCAAGCTTTGAGGAATACCCCTAAGTAACCTTATGCCACACCAGTATGTACCTTAGAGTTGTAGTGTCCCATCTACATCCTGATATCATTGTGGTGGATGTTCTTCCAGGAACCCTTTCCCTATGCTTCCCTCCTGCTTGGTGAGGATGGTAGTTTTTGTACCTTTAGGCTTAAAGATAGTCCTCCTCTGTATTCAAGTCTTTGAGGTCTTTGATCTATTTGACTATACCAGTTGGTTTCCTTAATTTCTGAAGCTACCCTTTTGAAATAAAAAATGTAATTGCAGATCTGTTTATCACTACATCCAATGCCAGCATTATCCACTAGCTTAAATAGATCTGTTGTATGGTTTTGTATTAATGTGATCTGGTAATCTGTTGACTTTGATAGATAAAGCTTTGGGTTTTGACATATTTTTGTATGTATAGCGGACCTTAAGCTTTATGTTTTTATCAATATGGAAGGATATATTATAGTTTCATTTTTGAAGCTGACCATCTTGTGCCATTACCATTGCCAAAGAGTTCAAGCTAGGCATAGTTAATTCTTTATTCAGAAAGAAGACCTAAGAACACAAGTAAAGCAGGAAGAATTGACACTGGTTACTCTAAATTATGTCATTTAAATCTAATACTTCAAATAGTAATGAGGGGCACTTTTCTGCTGTATGTTTTAGCTGAAAAAAGTAAAATTGCAGTTGAATCTCATCCTGCCATGTTTTGTTAGCGCTAGGGGGATGTTCACCCCTATTTGATGGCCAAATTCCAACTGAGATGGCTACATTTTGCCTATCAAAATATATTTTGCAACTTCACTAAATGCTTTTCACTATCATAGTGTTTAAGTTAGAAATAATACTAGTTCCATGTCTGGAACTTTAGTAGCCAAATGATAAGCAAATTCTTTTCACTTTCATATTAGTAAATATTGCTTTTTTTTAATATTCTCCCTGGTTGTAGGCCTTGCAGAATTTTGGACTTTGTCATACGCTTGCCACCTATTTAAAAGGATTGGAGCATGAAAACACAGAGTGGTGTGCAGAACTAGAGGAGATTCGCTACCAGGCAGCTTGGAGGAACATGCAGTGGGGCCACATCCCTTCAGTCAAGTAAACCATCTTTTCTGGTTTTAGATCTCTGTAGTATTGAAGGGCATATGATATTAATTCTTTTAACGGCAGAAAAACCCCTGCACACTTCTGTAATCTCCTTAGCCTCCCTGGATCAGAGTGGGGAATAGAGGCAGCAGTGCTACAGTAATGTGTGGTGTAAAAACTGAAGTTCATGAATTCTTCAGGTCTGCTGGAGCAGCTAGACAGTTAAGCATTTGGGCTGAAAGCTGGAGGAAGGAGATAGCAAGAGATAGGAAAGCTAAGCAGAACAAGTAAAGATATGGGGTAAGGAATAGAAAAGGAGAAGAGACCAGGTTTTTTTAAAACCTTTATTCTCTTTTTTCCCCATCTTTTAAAATGTCAATACAACTAAATGCAAAGAGCTGTTAGTACACTGCTGATGGTACATATTTGGACACAGTCGGCAAGTACAATAAGAAATGTAATTTTCATGCATTGGGAGGGTTGTGTTCAGATTTGTAGGTATACTATAGGCTATTTGGGTTTTTTGCATTATGTATCCCTTTAATGTAACTGTAAACATGTTTCTTTGAGATCAGCACTCATTCAGCTTAACCATTTTTTAAATAACTGTCTTCATGGTTTACTTGTAAACCACAGCTTGGGTGTATTCACTAAAAACATTACTTTATATTTTTTTAGCCAAATAAAATAGCACTCTGCCCACTACTGGAAACTTCCTCGTATTACCTCTTATTCAGTCGCCTATTCTGTTCATTTTATGAAGACAGCCACCTTTTTATCAGAGGTATCATACTTATGGCCCCTAAAATCATGCTGTATGACCCACTTGGCTCTTAAAGAATCCAGGAATTTGTGGGTGGGGCGAGTGAGGGCAGGCCTACTGCCAACATTGAAGGCACAGGGTCCCATTGGCAACAGTTGTCTGTGGTGGGGAGTGAGCAACAGCTGCATTAATAATCCCCATAGTCACCACTCAACCTGCTGCTGCCATGTTTGGATCTGAACTGCATGGAGCCCTGTGGTCTGGATCCAACCTAGGAGGAACCCCAGAGTCCAGAGCCATCCCAGAGGGGGGAGCAGGATAAGTATGACACCCCTGGTTTATATCGAAGCCAGGTCTAGTGGGTAGATTTTTAATCATGGTCATTTCTGGCTTTGGATGTAAGCATTGTTTCTAAATCTTTTTTAAGAGATGAGGCAAAAGGACCAAGTTACCATGAATTGTTGTATGATGCTCTGCAGTCTTTAAGAGATAGAGAATTCTCTACTTTCTATGACTGTCTTAAGGAAGCCAGGTAAGAAGCATGTGTCTAGATAGTCTACATATGGAAAACTGTTGTGGTCCATGGAGTTTGGGCAAAGTATTGTCAGTATAATAAAATGGATATTTGTCAGTTGTAAGTTAACTTGTACATTTGAAGCATAACTCTTGCATCAATGTACAAGGCATTTTTATTTTAATGGGGGTTGCATTACTGCTGCAAGGCCAGAAATGTTTTGTAAAGTGGCTTTTGTGGCCTCAAATGTCACGTACCTGAAACCTTTTTGAAAAGAGGTATAATAGTTATCCTTTTGTTCACAAGTTATCTGGAATGATATATATAAGATCAGGTTTAATATATTGTAGTACATCTGAATATTAATCATGTTAATGATTTATATTAATCTCTCGCTCTCTCTCTCTCAATACTCCTCTTAAAGAGAGAGAAACCAGCTACTGGTATTTTGGCAGAAGTCCTTGTCTCAACAGGACCATTTTTGTCAGAGTACTAGTAGTTTTGATGATAACAACTAAAGGCAGTGTGGGGGTATACAAAATAAAATTAAGAGATGTTACCTGCTATAGAGAAGTCATCTTCTTTTACAGTTACCTATAATATACATCTGCTTCCTCTGCATCCCTGTTTAATTCAAGGATGCATAGCATCTGCAAAAAAAAAAAATCAGACAACACATCTAAGGAAAAATAAATCCTATAGATTTTCATTTAGATTCTCAGAAACCTTTGATTTTAGGTTCTAGTAGTAATACAATGTGTTTCCCTAACTGAAATAGAAGGCATGTCTCAGTTCTGCATCTTTTATATTTAATTTCTGCTCAGCTTAAGGAAACTGTACTGTCAATAAATAAAGGTAATCAGCATGTCTGTATTGTATCCTTAGGGTGAAGGAAGTAGAGGAGCTGTGTAAAGGCAGTCTTGAGTCTGTATATTCATTATATCCAACACTGTGTAGATTACAGGCAGTTGGAGAACTGGAAAACATAGGACAGATTTTCTCCAGGTATGTTGTCCCTTCCTGTTACACCTCCTTGTCATCCTAGCTACGAGCCTGACAAGTTCTCCAGTTACAACTTTTTTAAGCAACCTATAATCTGAGGCTGGTGCTTTTGCCTTCCTTTTTTGAACTAATTTACTTAGGTAGCATCCCTGTGAGCCACAACAATTAACACTGAAACTGCTCCCCTGCTGCCAAATTTCTGGACCCATTTGGAACTCTGTAGGCTGAATCATATGGCCCCATGTGCTGAATTGGGTCTGGAGATCAACTCAGTGCCATTCACCTGGGCCGTGGGGCTGGATGGTTTAGGCACCATCATTCTAAACTGCATGTTCAGAGGGCACAGGACTGACCAAGATGTTCACTGAGTCCCGTCCCTAATGGAGACAACTTTGTCAGATAATCCCATTCAGAGTTTATCAGTGTCCATTATAAAACCTATTAAGGCTGAGAACCCCCCCCCCCCCCCCCCCCCCAAAACCTGGAAAACTTTCCCAGAACTTTTATTCCTGTAATGGTTAGAAACCTCCCTTTGGTTTCCATCCTAAATGTATTTGGACACCTATACACGAGCAGCGAGGCTTCTGGAGTATGGTAATTACTGTGCTCCAGCAGACTGCAGCATCTCATGTATCAGCATCCCTGCACTTAAAAACAGTGGCGGAGGCACTTTATCTAAAGCTTGTTCAGTGAGCTTTAGATAAAACACCCCAGCCGCCATTTTTAAGCACAGAGATGCTAACAAAAGACGCTCTGGGCGCTCTAATTAAAGTGTGTCGTGTGTGTTCTCCTCCTCCCTCCCCACCCCCTGCCCCGCTGAAGCACATGTATAAACCCCTTTGTGGCAAGTTCATATCCATTTGTTCTTCTGGTAGGGTTGTCCTTTGGTGTAATCAATTCTTCTCCCTCCTTTGAGGTATTTATAAAGAGCAGTCATGGTCTTTTCAGGTTTTATTTTTCTGGTTAACTAAAATCTGTTAGGTTGTCCCATAAGATAAGCTGTCCATTTCCCTGATCATCCTAACAGACCCTTTGTGTTTCTGATCCAGTTTGAAGCCATCTTTCTTGAACATGTTTCACAGATAGGGGATATTCGTTCCTTGGACTTCAATTTGTGAACTTTTTAGGTAGTTTTGTTGTCCTTGGTCCTTTACAGTAATCTTTCATGTCTCATATTTAATATTTGGCTAGAGTTAATAGCAGCTTCATTCTTTTTCTTTCATAACATCTGTGATTTCAGATCTGTTACTAACCAGCAACTTGCTGAGATTTATCTGAAGTGGCAGCGACACTCCCAGCTTCTTAAGGACAGTGACTTCTGTTTCCAGGAACCTGTCTTGGCTTTACGCACTGTAATTCTAGAGGTCCTACTTGAGAAGGAAACAGAGAATTGCAAAAGAGAATGCATCAAAGATATTCTCACCAAACATTTAGTGGAGCTGTCCAAATTGGCACGAACTGCAAAAAACACTCAGGTAAGAAATCCTGGGTATTTCTTTTACTTGCTCCTCCAATCAATGAAACATTTTATTTCACAGAAATGCTGAAGACCAACTTTGTTGAAATTCTTATTGTTCAGTCTAATTCAATGAATTGTTTATCTGAAGATTTAGTCTATATACTACTCCTTCATGAATGCTGCTCTCCAGGCATTTCTTCACACTTTGGTTCATAGTTGCCTTGCTTTTGATTCCACAGGTGTTACAAAACTGCATTTCTGTGTGTAAGTCATGTTTCTTGGCTCCGTAACTCCAGTTTGGTATACTGGAGATGTGAAGCACGATCAGCATGCTATGGATGGTTGTGCCAGCATTCCAGTTTAGATAGCCAGAATATTTCCGTTATATCCCAATACTTAGTGTCAAGTTCAAATGTGAATATGCTTAAAGAGCCATCGTATTTTGAAAAGTGACTCACTGTGAATGGTTTTGCAGGATTCCTTTTTATTTTGATCTCAATTTCGGAATCAGTTATGCTAAATTTTAATTTAAAAACAAAACAAAACATTCCCCCCCAACTGCCAGTCCTGAAAAGTCCATCTAGGCCGGGGTTGGCGGCATAAGGCCTGGGGGGTTGATTATGGGCTGAAGAGCCAGAGGGCCTTGGCTGTGCCCACACCTGCACCAGGGCTGAGCAGCTGGAAGCCGTCTGTGCCTGTGCTAATGCTGCTTCTCCCTGTCCCTCCTCTACCCACCAGCATATGGGCACAGGTTCCAGCCAGTGGGGAGCTGCACCCATACTGCAGTGAGTGGGGAGGGGAGTAGTGTGGGGAAAAGCAGCTGCAACACAATCATAGCTCCTAGCTGCCCAGTCCTGGCTCAGTTCCCCAGTGGCTGGAAGTTGCATTTGTGCTGTAGCCGGGGATCGGGGCAGAGAGAACTGGCAGCTCTGCAGGCGCAGTTCTACATTTCTTGGGCCCAGCATGGGCACAGGCAAAGCCCCCCTGTCACTGATGTCCCATTGAAACCCCCTGACCTGTATGGGACTGGAGCCACTTGCTCTGGCCCATGGCTTGTAAAGGTTGTCAGCTGCTAATCTAGATTGTTTCTAGTTAGTGCATCAACCATAGTAATAAATGTTGGGTTGCTGTAATTTGCCCTTCAATCACCAAATGATAGTCATGACTGTCTTTTTTTTTTTAACATCCCTTTTAACTTCCCTGGAAAGAAACCATTCCCAGAAAATATGTATCCTAGGATGAGATAGGGCATGTGAAAATTTACTGGAAGTTGGTGTCAGAACATATCTAACTTCGGGACAAAGAGTGGATGAAATCCTAACCCGCTGAAGTCAGTAACAAAGCTCCCTTTGACTTCCCTGGGGCAGCAATCTCACCCTACATCTCCAGAATAGTTTAAGCTTAGGGATCCATCCCCATGTAATCCTTTATTTCTCACCATCACCAAGTCAGTTTATACCATTGCAATCTCTGATACTATAGTACAGTATGTTATTAGTACAATATATGGCCTTGTATTAAACAAACCGGCTTTATCTTTGTCCCTTAGTATTTACAAAAATATATACGAGGTACTTGGTGACAATAACACCAGATTTCTTAGTGATGTGTTATTTTGGCCTGTGCCTATGTATATACAAATTTTGGAGGGAAGGGTTAAGATTGGGGTACTATATAAATTTCAGTATTGAAGGAATGGCTGAAGTATTATATACTAGTCAGGAATAGACTTGGATCACTTGTGTTTGTTTCTAGGAATTACAACATTTTATATCTGCATGCAATGTTCATTAAAAAATGTAATATTGTTCTTGATTGTAATCCACCTTTCACTGAAACTACATCTTCAATCACTATTTCAAGTTTTTGCTTATAAAAAGAATCCAACTCCATCTTGCACTGAAATGAAAGTCAAAGAATTATGAAAATGTTACATTACCAGCAAAATAAGTAGCGAAACCTGAATACACATAGATTTACTGAGTATAGAGAGGGAATTTGTCTGTTAATGTCATTTTGGTTTAAAATATTGCAAAGTTTATTGTAACTAATTGAATATTTTTTGCTAGCTTGATAGTCATAGTAACAGAGTATATAACTTTGGGAATATTTATACCACATAATTCACAGTAATTTTAAATACTAAATGCTGCTACTTCGTTCCATACCATGAGACATTTAGAAGATTGTTGCTTATCAGAGTCATGGGATGGCCTATAATGATAGACTAATAAATGACCTCACCTAATTTCAACCAAAACAGTCTTAGCAATAATTAGGTAGCAAAGGGATATGTTAAAGAAAGTTAGCAAATTGCTAATGGAGTCAGAAAGCCTTCTGAGATGTGTATTTTTATTCCTTATGAAGATCGTTGAAAATTTAATTTTTTTCAATTTCAGCTTCCTGAAAGAGCAATGTTTCGGATCAAACAGTGCAATCCAGCTAGGTATGGAGTCTCTGAGTGGCAACTGGAGGAAGCTCAGGTTTTCTGGGCCAAAAAAGAAGAAAGCCTTGCATTGAGTGTTCTCAAGGACATGATCAAAAAATTAGACACAGACTGGTTCCAGGTGGGTGCTATATTTTGTGTTGACTTAGCAAGAATTAAACTCCTTTGGCCACTTTCTGGGGGTTTTCTTTTGGAGAGAATAAAAAGGAAATCTGCAGTGTTAGTAACTCCATGTTGAACTCTTAAAAGGGACATACCTATGAAAACCAGTGGTGCCCAAATTTTCTGGGCTGTGGGCTGGATGAGTGGTGGGGGGTCAGTCCACAGGCTGGATCTGGTGCAAGGGATCAGTCTGTGGGCCCAGTCCAGCACTGGGTCAGCACATGGGTGTGATCTGATCTGGAGCATGGCCCCAGCTTCACTTGCTACATTGGGCCTGCTGCCCCAGCCCTGCATACATCAAATTGGGCCTGGCCCCATGCACACTGGATCAGGCCTGCTGCTCTGGCCCTGAATGCTAGCCTGATCCGGTACTTTGGCTCTGGTACATGTCTTCTGGCCATGGGCTTGGAAGTTTGGCAGTGGGGGAGTGGTGGAAGTGTTGATTGCCACCACCACATTTCTGGATGTGTGGGGAAAGCCACAAGCCAAAGGTTGAGCACTATTGATACAGACAAATGTATGTAGACAGGCAACTGAAAGCTCTCCTTATCTATACAGTTGGTCCAATAAAAGATATGCCAATAGTCAGAGACTGTAAGCCTTGCCTTTTGATAAATATTAGGGCATTTAAGAACTGCAGGAGAAAAAAATAAATTGTAGCTTCTTCACTGGTTAGTTTGCCTTCACTACTACTGTTTGGTCTGTTTATAATTTCTCAGTTCAGACAGTATTTTCCTTGCTGTTACTCATTCTTAATGAAGTGTGTGTCACTTGTGAGCCTAGTGAACTTATCCCTTTTATAAGTGCAAATAGGTTGATGAAAAAGCAAATTTATTTAGACACAGTGACATCCACAGAACTGTAACAGTATGTAATTTAGGATGTTGACTGCTATGGATAGAGATCGTATACTGATGGCACACAATAAATATGTAAGAGCTATTGGGCCAAGTAATTAGAAGTATTTAAGAGGAATATTTTATTGGGATTTCATTTATTTGCTCCTCTGTTTTATTTTCCAAAAATGTGTTTCCCAACAGGTTGAGAATGATCCACGCCTAAGACTTATGTATACAGAGTGTGTGAGGTTATGTGGTAACTGGTTGGCAGAAACATGCTTAGAAAACCCTACTGTTATCATGCAGAAATACTTAGAAAAGGTAAGGTTGGGTCTTTTGAGAGTGCAGTGTTTGACAAAGGTCATCACTGACAATCCCTTGTAGTTGAGGGTGATTGTCTTCCATGATTGCCTTACCTGTGGGTCTAAAGACGGCTGACAAAGCCAATCTGGGATTGACAGGTTTTATTGCAACTCAGGCGCATGTTTCCATGTGAGGTGGGTGACAGAGGTATAAAAGATCTGATAAAAGTGTCAAAGTCAAATATTGTTTTTCCACACTGAAAAAACAAATATTCAGTATACTCTAGAACAGCATTTAAGAGACAAAAATTATTTAATTAATCATTTTAACAAACCACTGTATAATAGTCAGTCTGGACTGATGGAACTTTCATCCTCCCCCCTTTGCTGCAAGGCCAGTGTCTCACTCTCACGTATTGCAAAAAAAAAAAAAATCAAAAAAATCTCTTCTTTGAGGATTTGCTTCATTGCCTTCAGTATTGTTTGTCTGCTCTCTCCCTTGTTCTCTATCTCATGCTAATTATTGTGAATCTCTTCCTACTTATTGCTTCTGACTTCCTTGGTACCCTCCACATGCTTTTTCACTCTCCTCTATGACTTTCACTTAAACTCCAGCCAGTTTCTCCACCTGTGATGTTGTCTCTCTCTTGCCTTTTGTCATCATTATAGGCTACAGGCTCGTCAAAGGAGAGAATCTTTCATTGGACTGTAAACCACCATGTTGTGTTGCAGCTGTGGTTCTCTATGAGCAATAATAATAATTGTTGGAGGGCTCCTATACAGTGGTTTATCTTCTTTACAGATAAAAGGTCTTCAGCTGTTCATGCTGGAAAATGAAGTATTTGAGGAAAAATTTCTCTTAGGAAAACAAATATTTGGTTAGCAGAGTTGTTTTTATTTTTTATGCATGCCAATGTCAGCATATACAAGTATTAAATAGTAAAAGAGTTGTTTTAATTAAGCAGTATAGCAGTAAAAGATAGCTAGAACTACTACACCAACCCGATCATCTGCCTTATCATGACTGCATTTGTAACCTGCTCTGTAGGCAGTGGAAGTTGCTGCAGGCCAGAGTGGAGACAGCAGTGATGAGCTAAAGTGTGGAAAAATGAAGGCGTTCCTCTCTTTGGCTCGTTTCTCTGATACTCAGTACCAAAGAATTGAAAACTACATGAAATCCTCAGAGTTCGAAAATAAGCAAGCGTTGCTGAAGGCGGCCAAGGAGGAGGTTGGCCTCATAAGGGAATGTAAAGTTCAGACAAACAGGTGAGTGCCTGGGCTGAAGGATTGTTCTCTCATGGAAAACAAATGTAAGCAAGTTTGGGATTTGCGTTGCATAGTGCAAGAGTGTCAAACATGGCCCATAGGTTGGATTTGACCCAGGGTGGTCTGCCACAGGCATGTGACCCTGGATCTGATCAGATGCACATGGGGCACATGCCTGTGACACAGGCTGGGCCACAAGCCATATTGGGCCCATGGACCTCCCTCCCCCAGGATACCTGATCCAGCGGCTGCTCCAGCCAGTCTGGGATCTGCGCTGCCTGCAGCACAGATCCCAGAGTGCTCAGAACAGGCACTGCATGTAGCACAGTCCAGCTGGAGCAGCAGTCACGCTGCACGTGGTAGCCCCCCCAACCAGATTGTTCCCCGTGCAATGCCCACCTCAGCAGCTCAGGGACTGCACTGCATGCAGCGCCTGCTCAGTCAGTCCAGCACCTGCAGTGTGTGCAGTGCTTGTAAGCACCATGTGCTGTGCAGGTCCTGGACCAGCTGGAGCAGGCACTGTGTTCATTACATGTCCCAGAGCAGGCACTGCATGTGGCACAGTCCGGCTGCTGCAGCCACAGTGTACAGCACAGCTGTGATGCACACAACACCCATTTTGGTAGCTCTGGGATCTGCGCCACACACAGTGCAAGTCCCAGACCAGCTGGAGCAGCTGCCAGATCAGGTACGCTGAGAGAAGGGAACAGGGAAGAGAAGAGGAAGAGGAAGGGAGCTGGATGAGTTTGACACCTATGGCATAGAGGAATCAGAGTGTACATCTCTTCCTTTTATTGAGCCTAAGAGAAAAAGTGAGGGAAAAGGGACTTGATTTTCAGTGATTGAAACTGAGCAGTGGTGCCACTTGGACACCAATGAAGGAGACACCTGACAAGGCAGGGTTTGGTTTAAGAAACAACTTTTTTTTTTTGCTTGTACATCCAGCACAAGTGTCAAATAATATTGGGAGAGTTCTTAAATTGGTAAACGAGCACTCCGGTGTTCTAGTGTATAACTAATAGTTTTAAAAGACTGTCCATCCATAGATACACAGTGAAGGTTCAGCGAGAGCTGGAACTCGATGAATGTGCAATTAATGCACTGAAAGAGGATTGCAGACGCTTTTTGTGCAAAGCCATAGAGAACTACATCAGCTGCTTACTGAGTGGAGAAGAACATGACATGTGGATCTTCCGCCTCTGCTCGCTCTGGCTTGAGAACTCTGGAGTCCCTGAAGTCAATGGGATGATGAAGGTTAGGTTCTGATTAGGGATGTGAACAGTTAAACAATTAATCATTTAACTGATAAGGCCAATGGTAACCAGTTATCTTACCAGTTACCATTTGGCACGGGGCTGGGTGCAATCTGGCAGGGAAGGGGTGTGGGAAAGGAAGACCAAGTGGTGCCCCAGTAGGAACTGGAAGGCAGCAGGGTAAGTGGGAGGGAAGGAGAAAGGAGGAGAGGATGGGGGGGAAGAGAGGGGCAAGGTGGGACTAGTACCCGTAGTTAGTCTGCTTCTTCCCTCCCACCAGGCTGGCAGGCTGGGAAAGCCCCTCTCCTACTGCTGTCTGTCCACTGCTTTACGTGGGTCTTGCCTGGCGGGGCTTGCTGCTGCTGCCTCCTCCCCACTCCCCATCCTACCCCATCAGAGGCCCTGGGGAGCAGTTCCCAGCAGCAGCTGTGTCCAGGCAGGTCTGTACATAGCCCCCAGCTCCCTGCACTTCCCCTCCCCCAAGGTAGGGCAGGCACCACACCCTACCTTGCGGGGTAGGCTAAATTACCTGGCCAGGGCTAGGTATGTGTTATCAGCTAACTGTTTAACCAGTATAATTAGGGGAGGTTAAATGGTAATTCTTTTAAAACAATATATACATCCCTAGCTCTGATCTCACTTCTTGCTTACAAAGTGTTTCTATGTCAAAATCAAATTTAGAACCCTTAGCCTCACTTCCCGGGACCTGCACAGCTGTGCCACTATGCCTACAGCTCATTCACATGTCTTATATTTGTACCTTTAAAACTTATACTGTATATTCTACCTAATAATAGAGCTCACTTTGATATTTCTTTTATCTGCTTAGCTACTCGCCTTCCCAACGCACCTATATACTTGGTAAACAGAGTATAACTGTGCACCATGCAGCCTCATTTTCCTTTCTGTTTTTCCTCAGAATTCATGTATTTCAGTTAAATAGTTAACTGGCATTTTATTTCCTGCCAGTTTAATATAACAAATTAATTAAAATTGCCCTAACGAAAAATAACCTTCTGAGTTTTTAATAAACTCAAGGCTTTTCTCTGATGTAATCCTTGTCCTTCCCATGCCTGGTTCATACCCCTTTGTCATCCTCTGCTATGTTATAGCTAATTTATATTGTAAGTTCTTTGAGGCAGAAATTTTTGTTCAAGTATTTTTGTAAAGCACCATAAGCAGTTCTGCAATTAAAAAAATGGTGCTGGTGCCATCTTTTCCCACTTCAAAAGAAACTGCAAACTAGTAATGAGTGGGCATATGTCCATTATGCTTTTATTTCTGTCTTAATAATAATTAAAAACATGTAATACATTTTTCTTGCAAATACTTTTTTTAATAAATAGCACTTTTTCTTGTCTTTATTGAACTATTTTTAAAATATTTAAAATGTGTTTCTTTCAAATACTTTTTAAAAAATAAATGTTCTTTTTTTCTTGTCTTAAATCAGATTGTTCAAGCCTTCTAGATCAGGACTGTTCTGTTACCATCAGTTTATGTAGCATCCAGTTCATCCATGCCTCCTAACTGACGCATCTAAATCATTCTGGTATAAAATGACCTCTCTCACAGAGAGAGCTGAAACAATGACCAGAGAAATGAACTTGCCACTTACCTCACCAGCAAAGATATTTTTGTGTAATTTGCTTTAGAACACCAATACAAGGCTATCAGGTCACATTTGATGGTTTATGTTTCTTATCTCTTTAACATTTACTCTTTCTTTACAACAGAAAAATGCAAAAAAGATTCCTTCATACAAGTTTCTTCCTCTGATGTACCAACTGGCTGCTCGAATGGGAACTAAGAAGATGGGTGGTCTAGGATTCCATGAAGTTCTGAATAATGTAATTAACACCAGACCATAAGTAGCTTGATTAGGTTAAGTACAAAGAGTTGTATCTTACCTGTTAAAATCTGCTGACAGAACAACCATCTTGCCATGCAATATTTTATCTTGACTGATTTATGTCGCATATATCCTTTTATTACAGTTCTTGTAATCTAATCCTTTTATTTACAATTCTATGTAAAATTCTTTCTTGTGTTGCTGTTTTCTTCATTGTTTTTAATAAATGTAGAACTCCTCAAAATAGTCAGGCTCTCATATTAAAAATACTCTTGAATATAATGTAGGAATTGAAAAAATACAGACTTAGCTGACCTGCTTTATTTTTATATGGACAAAACAATAAAAGACAAAAAATAAATCCTTCTATGTTAGCTAATTAGAATATTGGAAAGCAGAGTAGATTCACATCTTAACAGACTAGCCAAAGTAGATAATATATATACCACGAGTCCTCTGATTAGAATATGAAAAAGTTTAGTGAGTTTTTGACACTTAAGCTTAAAATGTATAGCTCTGATTTTAATTTGAATTGTTTTAATTTTTAAATCTTGTTATATTTTCTGACAGCTAATATCTAGCATTTCACTGGATCACCCGCATCACACTTTGTTCATAATATTGGCTCTGGCAAATGCCAAGAAGGATGAACTTCTGACAAAACCAGAGACAAGAAGAAGCAGTGCATTAGTAAAAAATGCACCGAAAGAAATCTCCCCACTTGACATGGTATCTAAATCAATCTGAATTTGTTTCACATATCACATTTGGTGTCACGATGTCAGAAAGTTGTCATATTGACAGGGGATTCCTTAATGCAGAGTTGCAGACACTGATTGTTGATGGGATGCAAAGTGGGGGGGGAAATCTTAAAAATTTTTAAAAATCTGTGCACAGACCAGGGACTTCTCAGGTTTGACAGTAGTTATGCAAATAGCTTATTACAATGCTTTCAACAACAAAAAAATCCTTACTGTTCTTGAAAAATATTCCCTCAAGTCCCAAGTATTGTAAAGGAAGTTTCCTTTAGATTTTCCACCCTGGTACAGTGGGATTCTACAAATTTTAGGTGCTACAAAGATTCGACTGGGTATATAACTAAAGGTAGATGACAACCAAAAATGGTTCTGTTTTACATATTTAAATGTTATAAGCTTCTTGTCTAAATCTGTGGGATTTAAATATTTGGGTTTGTACAAGGTATCTTTAATATAGTTAGGGCTTTTTTAGAGAAAAAGTGTAAATGCAGTGCTATAGCCATAACAGCATAACACAATTTCATAACTTAGTTTTAAAGTTAATATTCTTGTTAGAATTTTTATTACTTATGACTGTAAGGACATTCCCAAATATTTTTTGTTAAAACTAATTTCTGAGATAGTTTTGTGGGTGAGAAGGGGGCGGGTAGTGAAAAAGGTAGTGGCATTGAATTCATAAAAGCTTGAACAAGAATAGTCCTTTTTCTGAGGTGAGAATGTATTGAACACAGCAATTTGCAACTTCAGGCACACAACAAAGAACAACCATTAATCTTCGCCTAAGCTAAGATGCAGCCCAGCAAAATACAGTGAGAGCACACACTACTTAGTCCAATTTCAAATCGAATGTAATAAACCAAAAAGATAGGAGAAAGCCTTGCATAAGTCTTATGTCACAAGTCATCTGGGCAGTCACCTCCTACCTCTCAGTCTGGTCCTGCAGGGCTTGGCCCTGGGCTCACAGGGGACCAGTCCCTCCAGCCCGGGTTCCCCAGCCTCTTCCCCCTTCCCCATGGCCTGAGGGAGCTGAGAGGGATTACACCACCTGCCCTTATCAACCACTTGTCTCAGTCTCTGCCAGAGGAGTGAGGGGGTGGAGTCTGCTGGTCTCCTGCTGGCCAGCAGCCAAGCAGACTCTGGCTGGGGGCCTGTGCCAGTGGAGAGGAGGTTTAAACCCCCTCCTTCCCTTCCGCCTGAGCCTGCCTGCCCATGCCCCCACCACTCTAGTGGGGAAGTCTGGCAGGGGCTGTTCCCCTGCAGACCTGGCTGTGGTCCCCAGCTGGGTTTCCCAGCACCACCCCTTGTCAGCCAGCCCTCACTGCTCCAGCTAGAGCAGAGGGGCAGAGCTAGCCCTGCTCTCTGAAGCAAACAGCACAGCCCAGGGCTGCAAAGCATCCTGGGATCCTGGGGGACTGTGATTTAACTTGAACCAAGAAGGGGTCTGGGACAGAAACCGGTTTGACCTAAATCAGTTAAGTCTGATACTACATTGAACCAGGTTTATCTTAAACCATTTCAGCCATTTTGAAACTGGTTTATGTGCACTGAACTTCTGTTCTGTTACAGGTTTAAACCAGTTTCTGATCACTTAAACTGGTTTTTGTGTAACTTCTGTTCCTAGCAACAATGTTGCGAGTAGAGAAAGAGAGTTTGGAATCAGACTTCTGCCTGAACCCTCAGCCATATACATGTGATCTTCTCTAGCCGGCCACGTGAGGGCCAGCAACAGAAATAGGAAAGAGATAGGGAAGCCGTTTGTCCCTTTATATGCCCATTACCTGGACAAAATATCTGCCATAGTCTTCTGCCCTCCTGACCCCAGATTGGAAAATGCTAATTAGCATTTAGATCAGGTCCCCAAACTTTTTCATATTGCGTACCCCCTTCCAGATTTACCAGCTAGCTGCTGCATACCCCTACCAGCATGGTTTATATTTTAACCCCTTAAATGCCAAATACTATTATAATAAAAATTAAATCCACCAGTACACAATTTCATCTGCGTATCCCCCAGAGATGTCTTGCGTACCTCCAGGGATATGTGTTACCACAGTTTGGGAACCCCTACCTTAAATGAATTCAGGTTTGTATTGCAGAAGGTTATTCAGTGTTTGTGTTTCCTTTCTTTACACAGGCTGACCTCATTTCTAGTGGATGGTAGTTAGTAGCATTTCTTATATTTTTATTTTCTTTGCTCCCACAGGATCGTATGGAGGCTGCTAACAACATCATTAATATCATAAAAAGTAGGAAGGCTTCTATGGTCAGAGGTGTTGAGGCACTTTGTGATGCTTACATCACATTGGCAAATTTAGATGCTACTCCGTGGAAATCTCAAAGAAGTAAGTCTTGAAAAAGAGGGACACTACTTAGTAGGTCGGGTGCTTACAGTTTGGATTCCTGTGGTTCTGTTATTAAGCATGGAGAAGTCACTGTTTAGCTCACAGGAGGGTGATAGGTCAATGAATTATTATCTGTGAAGTTCCTTCAGATCTTTGGATAAGAGTTTCTATTCAAGAGTTAACTAGTTAAGTGTTTTTTGGCAGGGAGGGAAGGAGGGTACTGTGCTACTGTGGAAAAAAAAGTCTCTTCAGATACCTTGAATTCATGTGAGGTTAAATCTGGTGGGCTCCTGGATGTGGGACAGCTGGAGAATCTCTGGTACTGCCGGGAGAGACCTGCCTTTATTGCTTCATTTCTGGTCTCTTAAAGGACATAGGACAGTTCCCAGCCTTCTCCCCATGCAGGTCTGAGATCCAAGGGCCAGACTGCAGTGTTGGTTAAAAAAAACAAAACAAAAAAACCCCAGATATTGGTAAATGTGAATTTCAAGGAGTGCCTACAATTTCTTATTGGAAGAAAGGGTGTTTGTGCCCAGAAGCTAGCAAAGAATATATTTTCCAACTATTCAGTTGGTCTAATAAAAGATACCATGTCTACCCAAAGAACCTTGCCCGCCTAATTCAAAACTGCATTTGTTTCAACTGCAGAAGGCATCAGTATTCCAGCTGAGCAGCCTATTACTAAACTAAAGAACTTGGAGGATGTAGTTGTTCCCACCATGGAAATTAAGGTGAATAAAGCATTGTATCTTCAGAGTCCTTGGAGCACAAACTATGATCCTGGATTTCCCATTGCCAGACAAGTGCCCTGACCACCTGCCTACAGAGTCCTGCTCGTTCTTCAACTCTTTGTTACCCTACAGATCTTGCATTCTTGGCCATGCAGTGGCCTAGCTTCCACAGGAGGGGAGAGAGTGCCCTAAGCCCACCCTAGCCTGTGGTCTGCTAGTTTAAGAATCAGGAGATGGGGAACTGAACCTGCCTCCCATTTTCTGTGCATGTGCTCAAACCTCTCAGCTGCTATATAAGGTGAACAGCACCACAACTGGACAGGTTTTATAGCAATGGAATTAGCCAGTCTCCCATTCCCCAAAGGGGCAGTTAGGCATCTAAGTGCAGATGAGGGTTCAGGGCTGTGAATTGCAGTCTTACTGAGGTGCCTAAATTGTAGCTGCAGGGTGGTCACTAAGTTCCGTTAACACATGGAAGTTTGATGCATCTTTCTCAATGGCATTTGTTATTGGCTGGCCTTGGCCTTTCCCTTCTCTCAGGCTTGTGTTGTTCATCTCCTTAGGCACCTCATGCTCCCTATGCATTGTATTGGGCACATAGACACCTACCTTAGGGCAGTGACTTCCACTCCTAGTCAGACCCCAATGCCCCTTTGTGGATCTAGTTTAGTGGTCCTCAACTGGGGAGTGTCGTGAGACTACCCCCCCCTTGGGTGCCACAGTGGCAGCTGGCAGGCAAAACTGCACCATGCGCAGGGCTGTAGCACGTGTGCACCCTTGTTGCGTTACGGCTTTCTGATAACCCTAATGCAGGCAGAGCTGACTCGGGTTGTAGTTGTATCCAGTCTGGCCTCCCCCCATGCTTCTCCCAGAAACAGCAGCCTACCCGCAGTTGAAAAGCACTGAGGTAATTTGAGGCAGCACCAACAGTGGTTTTCAACCACGGATTGCTACCAATTAAAAAAAAAAGTGGTGGAGTGGTGCCCTAACTCAGAAAATGCTGAGAACTACTGATCTAGCCCCTACAGACCACCAAGATCATATATTAACCATTTTGTGCTAAATCTGCTAATAAAGTCTGTAAAGCTTCAGATTATAGCTAATCAACCATTTTTCTTTGGTGTGATGGACATATATTACAGTGATTTTAACTATGTGAATGATTTCAGGTGGATCCCACAGGGAAATATGAAAATTTGGTGACAATAAGGTCATTCAAGCCAGAATTTCGCTTAGCAGGAGGCCTGAACCTGCCTAAAATAATTGATTGCATAGGCTCAGATGGAAAAGAGAGAAGGCAGCTGGTCAAGGTGAGTTCTCTCTTATGTACTGCCTATTGTACCAGTCACAGAAATGGCAAAAACTATCATGTGTACAGGCCTGGGGACCTTTGAATTCTTCTCCTAGTTCTCATATAGACTAGTTCTGTCACTTGGGTACATCACTTAACATTTGATTGGGATGATGCTGCCTTGAGCAGGGGGTTGCAGTAGATGACCTCCCTGTTTTTGTGTCATTCTGTGAACTGTCTCAGTGTTCCCAATACAGGGCTGTGTTGACAATTAAAATATGTTTGCAGAAGGGTTTTAAAAAAGGAAATTACCAAGTGTCTATATCATTCTTGAGAGGCACATGAAAATATATTATTCTTGGGAATGTACAGACCTGTAGCAGGGATGACTGGGATTTCTGCAGTATTAGTACTCTGCAACCAATGGAAAAGCTATGATCTGCAGTCCTCATCACTAATTATGTGATAACATTAAAGCTCAACAGAATATTCATGTGGCTCTGATTCTGATTTTTATATTATTAATCATAACTTCAGTATCAGTTGGTATTGCCTCAGTTGCATGATAGGCTGTGCGGTGCAATATTGACTGAACTTTCAAAGCATACTACCAAAAGAAAGTTATGTACAATTTTGGAAAATATGAAAAAAAAAAGTTTCCCATAAGAAGAAAAAGCCGGTAAATTAATTTTACTTCCAGCTTCTGAACAGTACTAGAAAAGCAAGTAGAGAGAGAGAGAGCATATGCACGACTGTAACCATGAATTACATTTTTTGAAACTATACAAAATTAATATAGGTTTTGCAGAGTACGTAAATGCTTCTAAAGGATTATTTTTATTGCAGTAGCAGAAATTGGATCCCAGAAAGGTTGTCATTTAATTGCTTTTGGTATTTCTTCCCAAGGGCCGGGATGATCTGAGACAGGATGCTGTTATGCAGCAGGTTTTCCAGATGTGTAATATGCTACTTCAGCAAAACACTGAAACCAGAAAGAGAAAGCTAACCATCCGAAGATACAAGGTAACCTCCTGCTGCCATGCTGCAGCAGTTGTGATAAGTGGCACTTGTGTGGTGTGATGTTTCCTCTTCTGTTGCTGCCCAAAGGCACTTCAAACAAATTGTACATGTCATCAAGAAATTAACTGTTTCCTCAAGTGGGCAGAGTTCAGTAAAAGCAAATGTTTTAGTTTAACTGTTCCCCTCATTAAGTACAAAAGAAAATTGCTGCACTGGATTTTGTTTCAGGGCTTTTTGAAGTGTTCTTTATACAGATCAAAAAAACGAGAGGGGGAAGTCATGGGAATGAGCTTTGTATTTGATAAGTGGGAACTGTGGTTCTAAACAGCCAGTAAACCTACCTTTTTTACCGTGTAACCTCTAAAAGTTTCAAGAACTCATAGATGGATTTCATTCTGTTTGGCAAAAATAAATAAGTAAAACCTGTTTGGTTTTGCAATTCTGTAAAAAGAATGAGGGCAGGGAGGAAAAAGTTTCAGAATAATTTAAAATGTGTATATAATGGAAATCATGTTTATTTAACTGTAATCGAAATTACAAATCCCACCTTTAGTACTAGAGACTTTCATACCTCGCTGACAATTAAATGATAAAGCAAAAGAGGTGAACGCTCTACAAAAATCTAAATTAGAAATTCTCATAGCTGCCTCCAAAAGAAGAGGAAAACATCAAAACCAAAAAAATTACTACTCAGTAACCAGAGGGGTCAGTCAGAGCCAGCTGCGGTGTGACCTGTTGTCCAGTAGGAGCCAGCAATCTGAGACTGGATATTCTGAGTATCTTCAGTTTCACATGTATATTTTAATTGTCACACAATACACTGATCCAAACAAATGCTTTCAATAGCCCATAAAGTATGTTGAACAGTTAGTAATACCTGCATTATTATATGAGGACCAAACATGGAAACTCAGTAGGGTAATTATGTTGTAGTATAGCATGACTACCTGTTCATTAGCAGGTTCTTTTACTAAAGAAAAGTGCGTCCATTGATTAGAAAAAGTTATAAGAAGAAGCTATGTGAATTGAACTGTATACTCTAATACTCATGTCCCTTAAAAGGATGCATGCTGTAATGTATTTGCTACTGGTTTTCTATTCCCAGGTTGTTCCCCTTTCTCAGAGAAGCGGAGTCCTTGAGTGGTGCTCAGGGACGACTCCCATTGGCGAGTTCCTTGTGAATCCTCAAGAAGGAGCTCACAGTAGATACAGGCCAAAAGACTACAGTAGTCTTCAAGCTCACAAGGCTATGATGGTGAGTCACAGTAGGAAAAGAAGAATCTGTTTCGTTTCATGTTGAGTAGAGGTTCTTTAAATTGCTGATCTTTAAAAAACAAAACAAAACATTGGATTTCATATCAGCGTAATGTAATAACTGACAATAGGGTGTGAGATTGAATTTATTGATGATATCTTCAGGTTTATCTGACAACAATCTGGAAACAGATATTAAAAATATTAATTATGAATTAAATATCTGACATGAGAAAAAACAGACAGTGGTTGAGCCTCCAAAAAAATCTCTTTCCAGATGAGAACACTATTGAAGTTTAGAATGGTTTTCGCAGAGGCCTGGCAGATTTAGTTATCTTCCAGAATTAATTTATTTTTATCAATCTTTTTCCCATGATAATGAAAGAAAATAACAATTAAAGAACTAAAAATATTTTAAGTTAGTGATTAACATGAATGCTTTGAAGTTTCATTACAACTGTGAGAGAATGGCACAAACATTTGGTATCAGAGTAGAGCAAGGTGCGTTTCCTTCTAGTTCTTTTTTTTCCCCTGCCAACTAATTAACGAACACAAAAAAAAATCTCTTATTTATTTGTGGTTTGAAGGATGCCCAAAAAAAGCATTTTGAGGAGAAGTATATCGTCTTTATGGACATCTGCAAGAATTTTCAACCTGTGTTTCGCTACTTCTGCATGGAAAAATTCCTGGACCCAGCTGTTTGGTTTGAGAAGCGATTGGCTTATACTCGCAGTGTTGCTACATCCTCTATTGGTACAGTAAAACAACTGTAGTCGTTCTGTTCAAAATGATTGTCCCCATATTTTCAGACCTTGTGCAGGTTTATTCACTTCCATAAAGAGGAAAATCATACCATTTCAGGATAATGACAGTTAAGCCAAGTCGCACTGTGACAGCTTCCCTTACCCAGTTTACTGAAACTCTTATTCTAGTTGTAGGGGTGTAGGTTGTAGCCATGTTGGTCTAAGGACATAGGCAGACAAGGTTTTTTGGGTGAATCTGATATCTTTTATTAGACCAACCTAAATAGTTGGGGAAAAGAAATTAGCAAGCTTATTCTAGTTGTTGTATTCAAAAGTCGGGTTTAGATTTTGGCTTTTTTTGCTTTTGTAGGTTTTTCTAATCTTGGAAGATTTAAAATAACATTTCCCATTTAGGAAATATTAATTCCTCCCCTTGTGTTTTTAGCAGAGTTAAGTCTATTAGAGGTGCCAATTTTATTTTCTTTGTCTATTAGCATTGTTTGTAACGTCTGAAACAAGGTGCTCAGCTTGAGCATATTTCTAGTTAACTGCTGCTGATGAACCAGCATGGAAATGCACACATATTGGGTTTTTAATGAGCTTTCATCAGTTTGATGGCTTTACTCTTAAATTCAGGGTGATTCAGTTTTAGAGTTAAATTAAATATTCACGTTCTGGAAGATATTCAAGAGAGTATTACATAGATTATGAGTGTGTGAATATAGGTTCTGTTTTAAGTTTAAACTATGTTAAAGCATCCCTGGTTTATATAAACATGAATACTTCAAAATATTGCTTATATGAATAGAATGAGTTCTTGGGCAGCAGGCCGGCTCAAAGGCCTGTGACTGTTCAACTATAGCACGCAGCAGAGATGGTACTTTTAACCCTAGAGGACTATCACTAAGCTCATGCTTTACACAAATGAAGATTGTCTGTACTTCGAATTCATTCTACTGAATGCCGTATTGAGTATAGTATCAGTATCATACAATACAATTGAAACATATGACTGTGAGGCCCATTTGTGAGTTAATGAGTAACTAATAGAAAACAAAAAAAAAGTATCATAAAATGCACCTTGAACAGTTATTTTAAAGCGTGGGTGTGTATGGTGGCATGTGACACTTGTAAAATACATTTTTGGCAAACTGAAGTCTGTTAATATTTATCATAGTATTTCTTAGTATATTATTTGGCAAAAAATGAGGAGGGACCTCTCTCTGCAAAACGGGGGGGCTAATTCAGGTTTAAGAGCTCTACTGAGTGTTAAAATTGTTGTATTGTTGTTGCATATCTGGTTTCTAACTCAACCAGTTTTGTGACTTTATGGCTATGTACAGACATTCAAAAAGCCTGAGGCAGAATTGATCCAAGTTGTGTGGTTTTCTGCAAGCAGCATAGTTTCGATCGGTAGCAAACAGAATACATATTCAGCTTTTGGGGGATAGTGGGGGTTTGGGGGAAGGAGAGCACTGCCAGTCTATATGTGCTGAATTTTTGTTTGGCCAGTTTCACTTGTACCTGTAAAAGCTTAATGTCTGTACCTGGCCTATAGGACCACATGTCCATCAAAGGGAAGGGGCAGAACTCCATTAAAGCAGGTTTTCTGCCTAAAAGTTCCATCAGGAACTTTTATCCCTTGCATCCAGTGCACCGTTTCTGTTGCAGACACATTGTATGATATTTATACGGGCTACTCTGTACTGGTACTATTAGTCTGAATAGAGAGAGTGTATTACCTGCTCTCATTTTTAACTTGTTTACATAAATCTTCTTAGTCAGCTTTTTCATGTTTTTACAAAGATGAATGTGAAAAAAAAGTTTTAGTGATTACATTTCATATGAGATGATCTTTTTCAGTTGGCTATATACTGGGACTTGGAGACAGACATGTTCAGAATATCTTGATTGATGAGCAAACTGCAGAACTTGTACACATAGATCTGGGTAAGTGGAGCAGCAGGGAGAAAAAAGCTTTCTTTTTCTTAACTTAAACTTTTTTGTAACATTTCACTACATCTCTTGCTTTAGGAGTTGCTTTTGAGCAAGGTAAAATCCTTCCTACACCAGAAACAGTTCCTTTTAGATTAACGAGAGACATTGTGGATGGAATGGGCATCACTGGCGTGGAGGGAGTCTTCAGAAGGTAAGCAGTGTGTGATGTCTGTTGCCTCTCCATGCTTCTGTGCCTCCGTGCTTCTGTTTCAGCAAAGCTTCCCTGATTGAGAGAGAGGCCCCAGTTTTGAAGGACTGATTTTTGGGGAAAGGGTCATGTGATTTGCATGTAAATGCAGTAGTTACTTTTAACCATGCCTACTATTTCATGTTAGTAAATGAGGATAGAAACTTTGAAGCTTAATAAGACATTTCTCATCTAATAATTTTCTTTCCACTAAGAGCTACTCTTCCTCGCTGAATATCCCCTTCACCCACAGCAGTCTGGTAAATGACCAGAAAGCAAACAGAATTTCATCTCTAAAGTAAAAGCTAAAATATAATTGTTTTAAAGTCAATTAATGTATTAAGTTGTAATCTTAATGCTACTAATCTATTACTAGAGTGTTTCTGAGGCTCTGGAAGAAGTCTTCTGTTACAAGGTCAACACTTAGTCCTGAAGTCTGTAGCAGCAGCATTGAACTACCTCTGTATTGTATAGGGAGAGAGCGTTAACCCACTAGGGACCAAAAACTATCAGGCACGAACTTTGGCCTGTAATTTAGGTTGTTTCTAACTAGTGGAGGACAGAGGTTCTGGAACAGCCTTCACTCATAGGAATAGTGGGGGCAAATGATGATCTAGGTAGTTTTGAAATGAAACTTGCTGAATTTCAGTGGGATTATATGACACAGTTGCTTACCACAGAAGAAAACTCAATTTGAGGCAGATGTACATGATAGTTTTGACAGCACAGCTCTGCTGATTACACTTCCTAGCGAATATAATAATGCCAACAAAACTCTTGCTGCAAGTAACTTTGCTGACAGAAGAGAGCTTCTGTTGGTTTCGTCTGTCAGTAGTTCTCAAACCTCATTAGGCTCAAGACACCCAGCTCTTAGTTTGACTTGTTTTTTGACTACAGAAAAGTAATAGAGCAATTCCTCAGAAACACCATAACAGGTCAGAAGGTTTTTAACACTGGATTCTTACTGGGTTTACCTTGTGAATTATATTTACATTCCTAGAAGTGCTCACATTGTGTGACACCCCACAGCTCCCTGGCTGAGAATTACTGGGTCATGTTGTCTGGGGAGCTGGTGTACCTGCAGTGGCAGAAAGGCCCTTTTGTCAGCATGTCTGGCATGTTCATTATAGGGCTGTGCCAACTTATTGCTGTTGTGGCAGAGGCTTTGTAGCATGGACAAGCCCTTGGGGATGCAGGAGTTCCTGTCTAGCCCTATGTGCATTTTCTGTACTATAAAATGGGAAGCATCAATAATTACAATCCTGCTTTTGAAGAAGGGTAAAAATACAAATGACTTATGTTTTAAGAGGAAAAACTCAATATTACCATAAATGGAAGGAAGGCCAAAAACATCTTTAAAAAAAAATCTTTTGTAGGTGCTGTGAGAAAACGATGGCTGTGATGAGAAATTCGCAAGAAGCTTTGCTAACTATTGTAGAGGTAAATGATTTTCATGCTTCCTGATGAATAACTGAAAGAAAATTGTTCTTTCTCTCTCTATATGTTGAAATATGACTGAAATAACCAACTGCGTTGAATCTTTGCTTTTTCCTATTGGATAGTTCAATGGAAGTGTCTAAAACTGTTCATCTCTAGCTTTTTTTTTAAACTGTCCCCAGCTCACGTTTTTTGTGGCAACCCTTTAAGGCATTAAAATTACAAACCTGTTCCTTCAATATCTAAGGCTCCTAGTCAGAGAAGTATGTAGCACTTCTAACGTTCGTAGTGCTGCATGTCTAGTAAGCAAATGTACAGTAGAACATCTCTTAGTTTACTGAGTTTTTTGCTCTGGTAGTTGCATGCTAGAGCAGAACCTAGTATTTGAGGTATATCATAAAGCACCTGAACTGGAAAAGAAGTGAAACAACAGAATTGCTTAATAGTTTCAGTAGGAAAAAAACATGAATTCAATAGGTGCTCTAGAATGTGTACTGAAAAGGAGAAACGGGTTAATCAATATAAAAAAAGATCGACCTCTTTATTGAAGAGGGAGGACAAAGGCAGTTGGATCAGAACTGAAGCTCTTAGAGTATCAGGGGATGGGTCAGCAACACGCTTTTGCTTTGTGTTCATCTCTGTTTATTTGCTGTGTTCTGTCACTACTGGATTAAGCCACATGCAAGGGTTCTACTCTCATGTGGACTTCCGCTGTTTAATTTCTCTCTTCCTGTTAAGTCATTAAACTAGCTATATTTAGGATTTTAATACTTGTTTCCTTCTTGACTAGGTACTGCTGTATGACCCCCTCTTTGACTGGACCATGAATCCTCTGAAAGCACTGTATTTGCAACAGAGACCAGAGGATAAGGCTGACATCCGTACCACTCTAAACGTTGATCATCAGCAGTGTAACAGAAAAGCCAAGTAAGGGAGTTATTTCTTGCCTAGCTTTATTCATAGGTGTTAGGCTTGGAAGGGACCTCAGTAGGTCATCGAGTCCGACCCCCAGCGCTGGGGTTAGATGACCCCAGTGAGGTGCTTGTCCAGTCTCCTCTTGAAGACCGCCAAGGCAGGGGAGAGCACCACCTCCCTTGGAAGCACATTCCAGATTCCGGCAATCCTTAGTGTGAAGAAGTTCTTTCTAAAGTCCAACCTAAATCTGCTCTCCGTCAATTTGTGGCCATTGTTCCTAGTTACTCCAGGGGGTGCCCTAGTGAACAGAGCATTTCCTGTTCCCGGCTGCCCTCCCCTGATGAGTTTACAGGCAGCCACAAGATCACCTCTCAGCCTTCTCTTGTGAAGGCTGAAGAGATCTAGGTCCCTCAGTCTCTCCTCGTAGGGCCTCGTCTGCAGGCCTCTGACCATACAAGTGCCCCTCTTCTGAACCCTCTTGAGATTCTCTGCATTCCTGTTGAAGTGCGGCGCCCAAAACTGAACACTGTATTCCAAGTGCGGCCTGACCAGTGCCACATACAGGGGAAGCATCACCTCCCTGGACCTGTTCATCATGCATGATAAAGCGCGGTTAGCCTTGTTGATCGCTTTGTCACATTGATGACTAATGTTCATCTTGGAGTCAACAATGACTCCAAGATCCCTTTCCAATGCTGTGCTGCTGAGAAGGTCCTCCCCCAGCCTGTAAGTGTGTTGGTGGTTCTTTTTGCCGAGCTGCAGCACTTTACACTTGTCTTTGTTGAACTGCATCCTATTTCGTTCTGCCCATTTTTCCAACCTGTCCAGATCCACCTGGATCTGTTCCCTACCCTCTGCTGTGTTAATTTGGCCCCATAATTTGGTATCAGTGCGAACTTGGACAGGGTGCTCTCTATGCCCAAGTCACTGATGAAGACATTGAATAGCACCAGTCCAAGGACCGAGCCTTGTGGGACTCCACTGCCAACATCTTTCCAGGTTGATATCAACTCGTCCACCACCACTCTCTGGGTGCGTCCCCTGAGCCAATTTGCCACCCACCTGACTTGTAATCATCTACATCACAGCCTGTCTTTCCTAAAGTTTTGCATCCTCTTCTGGCTGCACACTGTTTGATTCTTTTTCATTTTTATTTTTCTGGCAGTGATCAGAGTTTTAACAAAGTGGCAGAACGTGTCCTGATGAGGCTTCAGGAGAAACTGAAAGGTGTAGAAGAAGGGATAGTGCTCAGTGTGGGAGGACAGGTGAACCTTCTAATACAACAGGCCATGGACCCCAAAAACCTCAGCCGACTCTATCCGGGGTGGAAACCTTGGGTATGATCTGGAAGTATCCACTAAGTTGTAGAGCAAATAAGCCTGTTTGATTCTTGGGGAAAGAATATCGGTTAGCATTTCATATGGAAATTTCTGGAATATAAATATGATCTCAGAAGTGATTTTGTAGGTTTATAAACAGTTTTGAAATCAATGTTTAATTTCTTTAATGAATATCCAATTATACTGTTATTCTCCACAACTGTCATCAGGATAGTGTTCTGGTATTCCTGTGCTGTACAATGGAAATTTTGTGACATTCAAGGAATGGTTATTCCTCTCAAACTAGGAATTAAGTGGCTTCTACATGTAAATCCTTTTATAAAACCTTGAATTCTTATTATTAGTGTTTGGCATTTCCTAAAACTTGACTCAAACTCAGATTACTGGTTAAGTATCTCTACACTCTTGTATATTGTTTTTTAAAATAATAATAAGACTGTATTATCTCTACTGAGTGGAATCATCGTAAACTAGAAAACATGGAATAACCAAGTGCATTTATAAAAGAAGCAGCACTATATCTTCAAGTCTGTTGTGCAGTGGTACTTGACAGAATTCAAAACAGACCTAAAAAGAGCTTCATATGCACGTTTATTTTTCAGACTAATAATGCTGCAGCTACCAATGAGAGAACATCATCACTGCACAATGCCTTCTTGATAAATCATCTTTGAGTCAAGTACATTTATAGTGCTGCTTTTTTGTTCCTTTTAGTTTAAATTATATTGGCATTTTCTTTGCATAAGCAAGGATTTTCACAGCATTAGCAACAAAGTTAGCTTTGTCTTCTTCAAAAATGTACTATGGGCTGACCCAAAAATATGCAGCCTTTCAATATCGGAGAGAAATACAAAATTTTAAAATTATAATGTGAATACATAACTTGTTTAATGTGTACAGTTTTATTTTATATATTGAATTGCATGTCCCTTTGTTTTTTTTTAAACAATCAGATAGTTAATGAACATGCACAAAGCAGTAATCTCTTCAGACAGTTGTGTCTATATTATACTTCTTAAAATCCTGCCTGAAATGTTTAATGTTTAAAAAAAATACAACTAAAATATATTAAATTTGACACAATCTCTCAAAATCCTGAGGTTGGACTTCAGCATTTCACTAACGTTAGTTTGTCTTGCTTTTATCATTTCAATTTTTAAGTTTGTTACATTTTTTGTCAATACTTGCACAAATTTTATTCCTTAATGCTGGTAGAAATGGAAAATGAAGGCGGAATGAAATTATCTTCCTATAAGATGTTAATTTGTAGACTGAAAATGAAATAGGTCAAACGGAGCATGAACGTTAATGGTTTCATAGGAAAGGAAAGGGTCATAGCTTGCAGCCATGGGTAATAAGTAGGAAAACTCTGAACAGAAAAGTGCTGATGAAGATGTAAAACAGTTAATGCCTAAAGTTAGGCTCCTCTATACATGTTCTGATTTTCAAATATGATTTCTATTGGAGTTGGTAAGTGCTCAGCACTTCTGACTCAAGTATTTTGTAGGGAGTGTTTAGGTACTAATTTAAAAAAGAAAATCTTGGTCACTGGCTGTATTACTTGAACTTTATTAACGTTCTTAAAAAAAGAAATCACTGCATGGGACTTCTAAATCAATGTAGGGTCTAGGTCCAATGCGTAGAGAAGTGTTAGCCCAGCAATTATTAGTATATGTTATCCCCATTGAACCTGTTACATAGAATTATTCTTTAAAGGGACAGTTTCAATTGTTTGACCTAAAATTTAGATTTTGTATTGAAAAACAAAAGAAAACAAAGAAAAAAACTATTAAAATTTAACCCAAATAAAAAAAATGTTCAGCTTCAGAGAGAATATTTAATTATTCCACTCCAGTGTTGTGAACTTAGTATTTTATTGAATGAAGAAAAGAAAATGAAACTAACAGTCTATTTTACTGTCTCAGATAAACAAAATAGGAATAAGAAATATATAAGTATTTTGAACTGAATATAGTTAGTATGCAAGTATGACTGTCATATTGACAGTTTTCCTTTTTAAGGAGGAATACCTAATTTTGGCATGTTCATACATAATACATAGTGTTTTTCCAGAGAACTCAGCTGTTAAACTTAACGTTACAGTGAAATTACCTGTCTCAAGCCATAATAATACTCTTATGACCAGGGATCATCAGGCATTGAGCTTTCTCTTTGCACGTTTTAGTACTTCTTCCTTTTTAACGGTCAGAATTAGAGACTGATATTGTAGTTAATTTCTAGCATATGCAGGATAAAAAAGTATGACTTAATATACATGAGGTGGGAGAAGGTATTTTGTTCTGAACATTTCACTCAAATTCAGGTCCAGTAACCTTGAAACTAAGGCTGTGAACAGATTTGCATTTGTAGCACTACAAGTGCCACAGCATCTTGTTGCACTATGAAGGGTGTTCCTATTTTCAACCCCCACCATCTCCCCTGCAGCTGGAGTACTGCAAAATCTGTTGTCACTGACAAAGACTGGTGGCCATCAGTGCCTGCTGCTGGAGTGGCAACAGCAGCCCCTGTTGCTGCAGCAAACAAAGCAGCAGCCCCCCAGTTTTGGCTGGACTGCAGCTCTGCTCTCTACCAGGTTGTTGTTAAGCCAAATGCACTCCTCCCTCCCTCCCACCTTGGAAGAGTAAAGCACTGAGATGCTTGGAGCAAAAGATCCTCTGCAGCGCTACATGCAAGTGTACAGATGTTACTTGGGGGGCTGTGAGGTACAGCACCAAGGAGAAGTTCCCATTTCAAGCAGGAGCATGGCTGAGGCACTTGCACCATTTTTGTAGCACCATAGGCAGGGTGCGCATCTGTATGACTGCTTTTTGTAGTTCAACAAGTTTGTATATAAAACTACAAATATAACATCTGTCTATGACCTAAGATCGCTTGATACCAGAGAGCCATATAAGAGTTGCCTATATTAGCACTCCAGAAATGTGAGAATACATATAAGTCTGTATCTTTTACATTATAATATTTTCCTGGCATGCACATTGTTATATGATTGTAAAAAATGAATTTAACATGGACTGTTTCTAAGGAATATTTTAGGCCAGGGGGAATCTATGACAATGTGAAGTAACAGGGATGTTAAGATTTTGATTTGTACTTTTTTACAATCCAATGCAACTTAGTTACGTATGGGAAATGTGTTTGTGTGCAGTTTCTGTTGGATAAGTGTCTAGCCTCCAAAACTGGCCCCCTTGGGGATAGATCACAGATTTAAATGAGTTGAGACTGAACCACTATTAGAGAAGACTGCTGCAGAACAAGGATTGATCTCAGCAGGCAGAAATGCGTGAGGAACTGATAACTTTAACCACCAGTGTTGTCAGTCTGAAACATTTCATGATCTCCCAAGACCAACATAAACATCAGGATTAATTTCCCAATGAAAGTTAGTTATGTGATTTTGTTATATGATCCCATGAAACTTTGTGTATCCAGAGTATGTACAGTATATTTTATTGAAACCCCACACCTATGTGTTATAAATCACTTTTTAACATCCCAGAAAGTTATGCCTTTAGAAAATACCGTTTGCAGGTGGTGATGAAGTCTATGCTATGTTATCTATTCTGGGCTACTGATAATATTCTATGCAAATATAAATGTGCTACACCTTCAAGAGCTATATTACATAATGTGCAAAAGTGTCAATAAAGACATCTTTCTTAATAATGGGTGCTAGTAATAGCTCACTGGAATTTAATTGTGCCACTGTGGTAGATGAAAGTATGCATACTATTATTATTACTTTCACGATTCAAAGCTGAAACATAGTATAAACCAGTAGTGTCAGATTCACCTGGGGCCCCAGGCCAGATCTGGATGTTAGGGCTTCTTCTGGGCTGGATTTATTCTGGGGTGGCAGTGGCAGCAGCCACCACAGCAGCAGTGGGGCAGGAAGCCACAGGCCAGGCAGCTGCTCCTGTGGTAGAGGTACATATGCAAACACAGGCAAGGCAGCCTCAAGGTGGCTAGAGTAGCTAAAGTCCATGTCCACCGGGCTCCTTGATTTCACAGCAGGGCACACCCACCACTGGCCACACATACCACCAGCCACACCCCCGGTTTAGCACAATCTGTATTACGGTATTAGCAAAATCTGAGCAATACATCTCTAAATGAAAACACAGATCCCAAATACAAAAATATACCTACACAGGAAATTATAGCCTTAAATGTCAAAATGATGTTTTTATAAGTTCTTTGCTTCTAGAACAGTAACCTTCAATATACTGTGTTTACCTAAATCCAAAAGCTCCACTTATTAGGGGTGCACTGACAGAGATTTTTGGGGCCAGTACCAATAGCCAGTTTTTAAGGAGGCATATCAGCTGATACCAATCTGATTTCCGATACCAACCCAGCAACTTGAACAGCTGCTTGTAGCTGGTAAGTCTGGTGTGGTGGAAGGGGAGGGGGAAGGGAAGGGGGCTGGTGGTGGGATAGATCAAGGTCCCTGTGGTGAAGGAGTGGGGCTGGGGCAAGCGCTGCCCAGCCAGGGTAGGGTGGATGCAGGACAGAACCACGGCTAGTCCAGTGGCTCCTGCTGCTGCTCCCACCACTCGTCCAGGAGGGCACGGGGGATGTGTGCCCCCAGATTTGCATGGGGTGAGCTGGGGCCAGGGCTCCACCAAGTTCCTCCCAGCAGAGCAGGGCTGAACTCCAGTGGGCAGTGGCAGCACTGGGAGGGGGCTATCCCAGCTGGGGTGGGGGGGCACACTACTCTGTCCCTGCCCATCCATGCATACCTCCAGTTAAAAACCCCTATTCTAAAAGTAGGATTAAACTTAGATGGTGATCACTCACTGTCTTTTCTTTTTTATCTGTGTTTAAGTGATAAAACCCAGCACACTGGAACTATAGTACTTAAAAAATTCTGTTGTGAGAGAGGTGGGGAAATGAATTATATTTTCCTCTGGGATTCACACAACTTTGGGAAACCAGCTCATCTGTACTATTATAAAATATACCATGGTAGTATTGCTTTATTTTTTTCACTTTATACTGTACTGTTGTTAAAAATAAAGAATAAATATAGTCTGATTTTCTATCAGTGAAAGATTTTTCTGCCTCAGGTATATTATATGGACTAAATTATGCCCCCTCCACCCCCTTCACAGTATGAATCACAATTGACTTGCTCTGGAGCTGCTCATAACTGCAAGTGACACCAAAATTTGTCCCTGTCTGGTCATTCTTTGTAGTATCTAGTCAAGACTAATCAGTTCATTGTCTTAATATGCTACATCATAGTCTAAATTGGTGATTCTTGACCTTTCTAGACTTGAGGCACCCCTTGGAAAATACCAGCCCTTTGTTTTCAATTGCTTTTTGCCTACAGAAAAATACTAGACCAATTCTGTTGTGAAGACCTCGGAAAGACCACAGTCCAATTTGAAATCTCTGGGCTTCTACTGTATATTGCATGGAAATGTTTCCACACCTAACAGTGCTTACACTGCTTGGAACACAGTGGCATCATTGAAAGGATCTCAAGGCACCTGAGGGGTGCCAGGTCAGCCTGGTTAAGAAGCATTGGTCTAGACAGAGTATGCATAGCAAGACTGACTTGCTTAACTCAAAGACCCCATCAAGAGAAGGCTGGTTCTCTCCTGACTTGAGAAGCCTTGCCTGAATACAACAGTTCTGCTGGTTGAATTGGAACAATTTAGTTCAGCTTATGTACACCACCATAGGACACACACCAGCTATAACTACCTTACATCAATTTAGCTTTGTCAGGCAAGGCCCAATAAAGTAGTAACAAGTGGTGAGGAGACTGCAGTAGGGACCGTGCAGTCCTATCTATGGTAGCTGAGAATAAGACAAACCAACAGAGCAAACCTGACGTGTTCTGTCACAATGCAAATTAACCTGCTTTATATAATGCATGAAACTGAATTCTAGACTCCCTACACTGAGTGCTACTATTGCTCTTTCTTGTGTCCTGCTACTGCTCCTTCCCTTCCAACTCCTCAAGGGAGCTGGTGCTGTTTCTACACTCAGTTCTCCAAAAGCCTATGAAGTAACCTACCTTTTGACTAGTAGCTTGTCAATGGTTAGGCCAATGGTCCTCAATCTTTCTAGAGCCAAGACACCCCTTGGAAAATCCCAGCTCTTAGTTTTTACTCATTTTTTGACTATGGGAAAAAATAGAACAATATTTCTGTTGCAAGAAACTCAAAAAGACTATAACAGGTCAGAATGTTTTTTAAATTATGGATTCCCATTTGAAATCTCTGGATTTAATCTTGTGAATCATGTTTGCACACTCAACAGTGCTAAAATTACATGGCACCCCAGCTGAGAATCTCTGGGTTAGGCTTTCAGCAGCCTGGATCCCCCACCACTTCAGCAATTGCCTTCCGTCTCACTGAAGCAGCAATATCCAGTTGATGTTTCTTTATAAGTGGTAATGGCCATCATTAACTAAAGGCTCTCCAAAACTATCATTTACATTTTACAGTTTAGTATAACTTTTAGCAAATTTAGCATGTAAAAAAAAATAGCACCTTCCCTCTGGGAGTATCGCTGGAATAATCCATGATGCACATACATGTTGCATTATCTAAAATATCTTTCCTAAACAAAGGCATTAATGACTCAGTAATCAAGTGATCCAGTTGGTGGGAGGCTCTTCTTAGCTGTTAGAATGTGCTTATGTTCTAAAATAAGAGGTTTTTTTTAATGTTAGCTTCCACAGTGCATGCAGCACACCCTGGCTTAAGAAGAGCTCATTATTTTGGTAATGGGCTTGCCAACCTGAATATAATCTTCTAGAAAACCTTTAAAATATTCTAATGTTCACTGGGTAAACAAAAAAGGATTTTTCTTTATGGAAGGTTCTTTTACAGAATGTCAGCAAGGTGTGTTTTTGTAAGGCTCAAGTGTTTATCCTAGACAAGCTGCTGATTGGTATCTGTGGCAATTTCACCGTATGCCAAATACTTTCTCTTGTATCTAGAATCCTGTAAGTCTGGCTATAGCCAAGTGCTATAGAAACACACACACACACACCTTTTTCAGCTGCTCTCCTTCCCCCTGAACAGATTCAATAAAGAATATAGGACTAGAGACAGCTTGGTCTCAGAAGTGCCTATGGTATGTAGGCAGAAATTTGACGTATGTTCCAAGGAGCAATTAAAAAAAAATAAATAAATAATATTCCCTCCCTCAATATTCACCTATACTCAGGCACAACCTCCACTTTGAGCTGCCAAGTTTCCTAGGCACCTACGCCTGGGCTTCTGTCCATGATCAGATGTAATCCAATTTGTTACTGTGACAGGGCAGTAAGTATACCCTGTCACGAAATGCCAAAGAAACAAAGGGGAAAAGGAAACTTACCACGGCAGTGAGCCTGGACAGGGGAAAAGCCGTGCAGGATTTCCTGGATGTTAATTAATACAATCAGCTGGGGGAGCTAGCAGGGCAACAAATGGGAAGCTACAGCCAAACACATAGCTGATCTGCACAGGAAGTTAAAACAGAGGCAACTGAGCAATTTGGTCTCTTCTGGTGAGGGGAGCAGCACAAGGGGAAGCTTGTGGGAGCACCCAGAGGTGCAGCAGTGGCATGTGACCAACCAGGAATCAGCAAGAGTATTCTGCGGACAGACTTACCAGAAGAGTGGAGACAAAGAGGGAGTTGCCGCATCCAAGCTGGTGGGTTTGAGTCCAGCGAGTGTAGAGTCTTTGTTCCTGAGACCTGAATAAGAAAAAAAGATGGATCGGAAGTGTGAATTTTGGGCGTTGGCCTGGGATAGTCCCTCCCTGAAGCAAAAGGGCGGTGAGATTATGTGACTATATTTGAGACCCGGGGTGGGGGTGAGCAAATAACGTGACAAGAGGTCAGTGGCAAGAGACCAGCTGCCAGGATATTAAGCAAGGCAGCATAGTGATTATGACTCCCTAGGGGACAGCTTGTGAGATCAACGCTGAAACACCTGGTGTGCTAAGGACAGGGTATAGGGAGCTGGTGGAGCCCTGTGAAGAGGAGCCAACCTGCTAAATTGCAGAAATTAACATCAGATTTACTTCTCAGAACTGTACCCGTTTGGTTCCTTTCCATCCAAGTCAGGGGTTGTCAACTGGGAGTACTTGGGGAAGGCCCTAAGGGGTATGCACAGGTGGGTGGGTGGGTGGGAACAGAGTGCCATCACCCACCACCCTGTGCTGCCACCTGCCAGGAACAGGGCTGGGGCAAGGCGAGGGCAGCAGCACCCCTCTGTGGGCTACACAGGCACTGCCCAGCCGGTTAGATGATGGGGGGCAGAGTACAGAGTTTGCATGCGGTGGCAGCCACCATCCACCACCCCACCCTGCTTCCATTTCAAGCTGCGTTCCACCCCACCCCCCACTGCCAGGGGTACACTTATTAAAAAAAGGTTGAAAACCCCTGATCTAAGTAGTGGCAGGCGAATTTAAAGGAGACCATCTGGTCCAGAGAAAGGGACTGCAATTTGCTTTTGTGGCATGGCTAGGTCTTCTGCAGTTACCTAAACACCTATCTTCTACTGAAACTGCACTGTAATCCAATCTGGTGCTGGGGAACCACTGGATAGCTAACAGCACAAGAGTGATGGGGACAGAAGAGTGCAAGAAAAACAGTCTGCCTCTGTAATAGATGTAGGCTGCTTACAAACTTAAAAAAACCCCAACAAAACAGCAATTTAAACTTGGCTCACCCAACATCTGTATAGATCAGGTGTTTCAACAGGGCTTTTTGGCACTTTTATCTAATAGCTGATTCAATCATCTGATCTATACAGATGCTGCAGAGCGGGGTTGAACATAACCCACTGCCTCTTCTGGTAAAGCACTTTTTTTTTTTTTTTTTGAGGGGGAGCGTTCATGTCTGTTAGCAGCCTAAACCGCACCCCCCCAAGTGGGGAGTCCTCGCTTCTGCTCTCTGCTGCCAGGGTTATTTCTGTTTTTCTGACTGACAATTGTCTAATGCAAAATTTGTGGGTAGCATTGGAAAAATATTTTTCCCTGAGCATAACTTATACAAAAAAAAAAAAAAAGTGGTAGAAACTAAGCATAGAACCCCACTGCCATGTTTACAGTGCGAGAGCTAAATTGTATTTCATTTATCCAAACTACAGTTAGAGTAACTTACCCCTGTAGTTGTCGGAAGTGTTGCTTGTTGCAATTTCCTTCCACTGTCTCATATATCTAAACATGTGAAAGGAAAAAAAGCATTCAATTTAATGATTCAGTAATTACCCAAATCTTGAAAATTAACGTAGTGTTAACTTTATCTTATCTCAACCAGTTATTTGGAAAGTTAAACATATCTCCCAAGAATCAGGGCCTCAGTATCAAATACTTAGACTTAGAGGTGGGAAGCTTAAGATCTTTCATGGATAATAAAGTCCTTCAAAAGAAAGAAATGAAAAGCACATGCTTACTCTCCATAGTCAAGTATATTTGTCCATTTCAATAATTCATCCACTTCCCATTCCATTACATCCTGTCCTCTTTCTTTCTCAGTGGCATCAATAATGCCGTCTGCAGCTCTCTGAATTAAAGTTGTAATGGTAGGGTCACCTGTTTTGACCCACAGGCTTCCTGAGGAATACCTAAAACAGTGAAACAAATACCTTTTACTGTATACTGCTTAGAACAGTAATTGCTTTCTTACTGAAGATGGTGCTATATCCTAACACTGTCTCTCACCCTAGTAACAGGCTTATTATGCACATGAAGAACTTTACTAAATCTAAAAACCAGTTTATAGGAACACAAATATGTGAATAGAAATATGCACATTAGTCATCATTAACCATTTATATGGCACTCTGATTTAACTGACATCATAAGGATGTGGTAGGGTCACCCAAATACCCTGCAGAAACCTACTACCTATAGAACGGAAACTCACAGCAATCATACACCCTCTGGTGCCACGTATTCAACGCTGGGACCTATAAGAAAGATCATAAAACAATTCTACTTCATAAGGGCCATACCTGGAGAAAAATAAATATTCTTTATCCACCCCCACCAGTGGCTTTTAAAGAACCCTCAAGCTCATCTCTCCCTCCCCCAGCCCCTAATCAACAGCTACCACAAGGAACAAGATGCTGCCTAAACAATATATACAAAAACACCTGCCAACTTGCTTGCTGCTAATACAATTCATACACCCCACAATGAAGCCATCGGAATTCATGGATCCACCACATCTATCACAGCATGTGATAAATCTCACTCAATACACCAAATGCCCTCATAGGAGCTATATAGATGAAGTTAAACACTCTTGAATGAGCATGCAAAGAAAAATGTTGAAGGACAGAAATATCCAATCTCCAATAGAAGAATACTTGTCACAGTCCCCGTCTTCAAACAATGGACCTGAGAACAAAAATTTGTAACCTAGTGTCCAGGAAAGTTTACTGGACACTAAAAGCCTTGAACTAAACACAAACAGTCGGCTTACAGCACATGACACTTTACCTTCTCCATCTGCTAACGTGACCATACTTCATGGGTAATAATAAATATCTTCCCTTTGGAATGATCTTTTTTTACATAAGTTTTTTTTTTTTTTTTTTTTTTTTTAATTTAAACTTTCTTTTACTTGGTTTATACCTACTTCTAATAACTTTGGTTCACGGGTTTACTGCCAACTTTCCTTTCTTCAAGTAACTATGCTCATTTACATAACAGCTTTAAACTAAAAATCACTGTTTTATCTGGCATTTAGCTTAAACTGTGCTAGCTTTTTTGCCAGACCTGAGGGAGGGTGCATTGCATCTACAAGCTTGTCTAATATCTCTCCTAACTATCAACCTGGTCCCATAAATGACATTACCAAACAAACCTTGCATCTTTCTTACGAATGGACAGAATTTACAGACTTAAGCTTGTGTATATCACATTTAAAGGTAGACTCCACATTTTTGGTTCATCATTTTGATATCAGCTAAATAGATCTGTTCTTCTAAAGAAAATTTTACAAAAATACCCCAAAGATCACCTCATAGACCACACTGTGAAACAACTTCTGAGATGTTTGACAGTGTGGAGGAACACTACACAACAATTTGTACACTGAATATCATATGTAACAAAGACAGACCTTTGCAGCAATCTTTTCAGATGGTTCCATAAAACAGGACCTAAAAGAGAAGTTCTCAGGACAAGATTCTCTTCAGGGAGACATGAATTTCTTTGAGCGATATCTTTTATTGGACCAATTGTGTAGTTGGGGTAGAGTTAGACAAGCTTTTGAATGCAAGACATTCTTCTTCATGGCTACATCATCTCCTGAGATTTTTACTTAGGTCAGATTGATGGGGCAATTGGTTTGTTCATTCGTTTGGTGTGGTTTTTTTGTTTTTGTTTTTTTTGTTTGTTTTTAAAACTTTCTTGCTCTTCTATTCTCTTACGGCACATTGCAGGGTGGGTTCTTTTCACTGCAGGGGACTGATAAACTGCTGATGCCCTTGCCTCTTCTAGTCTCTTCCTAAGGCACATTCTAAGGCTGTTGAGGAGGTGGGTTGATTTTGTTATACTAAAGCTTTTTTGGATATGGGTGTTATTGAGTGTTTTTGGGCTTAGATGCATGTGAAAGGCCAGAGTCTCTGTGAACCTGTTTGCACAAATATTCATTACATGACTACTTGTGATTGCAAAGGGTGGGGGTCAATGTTCCCTTTCAGCTCTATGTTTCTCTATTCTTTTATGTTCCTGTGTTAGCAAGAATTGTCATGTCCTGTTTCACAGTTCATTCACAATGCCTTCTTCCTTTATTTTCTTGTCTGAGAGATGTGACAGTGTCACCTTGCAAAGGTATTTTCAGGCTCTGAGAGGACGTGAGGTGTGGGAGGAAAAAATGCTAACTAAACTGTTAGTTATTTTTAGTAAATTATTTTGCCTACCTTGGATGCTGATCACCTCTCTCACCCCACTGACATTGTCCTGTAAGGAAGACTGAGACAGCTTCCTCAGGATTGGTCCTCATTTTTCGTATCTTTTTGCTTTTTTTAAGAAATCACATTGCCTGCAGTACAAGTGGATGTTTCCAGAAACTAGTCATCCTGATTGCAGTTTTCCAAAGTGCCTACAACAGGATTGGACTATGCTGAATGTGCCCTGGACTATCCAATTAGCCCCCAAAATATGAGGTTGGTGCCAAAAAGCAGTGTTAATGGAAGTTGCTATTATCACTATAATTTTTTCTTGACCATTATGCTACCAGCTCACTTACTACACCTACAGGAACAAACTGTTCCAGCCCCATCCAGACCCAGGAGTCAAGTAGATTATAACTCCTAAAGGTTGAACAACTAGATTACCCTTTACTATGGCATCTGGCCAATAAGACAACCATCTGTCTCTAACACACTCAACTTCACTACCTATCATAGACCAAATTGGAAGGAAGAGTCCAAAGGAAAGAGAAAAGTAGGCAGGAAATCTAGCATCTGATGCATAGACATTGAAAGAGCACTACCTAAACAGGTCAGAAGCAGACAGCACAAGGAAAAAAAATTAACACGATGAGATGGTCAGTACAAGATATGCACCAACAAATAATCTGTATGTCATCAGCAATGAAGTACCTCTTAGAGCCTGCAACACTGAGAGTTGTCTGGATGACACTGCAAGCCCTGTACTACCCACTTAGTCTGCCTTCCTGTTCTTACATCCAGCAAGGTGGCATTGCTTTGAGTGTCTTTGAAAACATCAAATCCAATTGGCAGAACCTCAGGTAAGACAGCTTCATTTGAACCCTTTCATTTGACAACAAAGCTTAGGACCAATGTTAACTTATTTTTTGCTCATTTACAGAACACTACAGACTAGGGTATTTATAATGGAGCCCACTTATACTTTGTCAACAATGGTAGTGAGAATATCACTGGGTAATTTCAACATTCAGATCCTACAAGGCTGTAGATTTCTTGAATTTTTTTACTTGTCTATCTCAGACTCTCTCATGCCTTCTCTTGGCTTTCCTATAGTATCTTGAGGCTTGCAGTTTCTGTTCTGCCACCTAGAAGTACCTACTGGCCTCATTCAGACTGTCTCCTGGGATGACAAACTTCCTGGAATCTCTATATCCAGGAGGACTTACTCCATGTCACATGTCCCACACAACCATTTGTATACGGGCAGTCCTCAGACTTGCGACACACTTGATTCCTGAAAAGTGTCTCAGGTCAAAACATTGTAAATCGGAACCAATTTTCTCATAAGAAACAATGTTATAAATGGGGGATTTGTTCCTGAACCAAGGCCCGATACCATATTTTCCACTAATAATACCCCATAATTTTGTACTTGATCCATTATAGATGAGTAATAACTACATTAATGTATTTATATTGTAAATAGCAATCATATTGATTTGGAAGGACTTCTTTGAGGTAACTTTGCTGGACTTTTTGAAGGGTTCTTTGTTTCAGTTTCTGAAGGGTTCTTGGCTGGAGTCTTTTCAGGAGTCTTGGCTGCTTTCTTAAAGGAAGTGTCCAAGGAAGTTTGGACAGATGTTCTCCAGGGAGGCGGGTGACACAGCGAACTTGTTCGCTGGTGTGGCATCACATCGGATCAAGTGTTGTAAAGTTGAAACTAACGTCAGAAAGTTGAAACAGGGTGTCAATTTATAAATGTTGTAACTTGAAACGTTGTAAGTTGAGGAATGTCTGATCTTCAAACAATGTGTCCAGATAAAAGACATCACCACCCCTCTACAAAACATTGCTTTCAAACAGTGTCCATGGACCTTTTGGCTCCCAGACAAGAAAGACCAATGGACTCCAGCACAGCCAGAGCATGCTTAAGGACAGCAGTATTCCACTCCCAGGGCAAGGAGGTGAGCACACAGTGAATCATTATCACAGTAAGCTAGTCTCACTTATTGACATGCTGGTTTTTAAACCTCTCCATTCTTTCCACTATCCATTTCTGACACCAGACCCAATATTAAGAAAGGGCTAAAAACTTTAGCACCACTGAGGGAAAAGCTGATGCACAAAGGAGGTAACAAAATGTATTCTTCTAAGCTGTAAAAGCTCTAAAATAGGCTAAGAAAACCTTCTTCCTATTAGGTTCCACTGATGATACCAAATCCTACCCCAAGTTTCCAGTCCTTGCTGCTAAGGTGATTTATTTTTTAACCAATGATTGTCTAAATGTAAGGTAGATAAATAATCCCAAGAACAAACAAGAGGGGCTTGACTTCATGATCTAATATTTAGAGTACTCCCTTGCTGTCAGGATTATTTACCCATTTTAGAGTAAAATAATCTTTGAGTGAAGTGGGTAACTAGTATTTGGAACGGGGCAGAACAGACCTCTGTGGGCTCAGAGTCACAACCCTCTTGTTTGCTATCTTTCTGGCTCCATGATTCTTGCCTTCTAGTGACCCAACTGCCCGCAGAAGTGTAGAGTTCTAGCCTGTTCTAGCTAAAGCATTCTCCTGGAAAGCAGGAAATGTGGATTCAAATTACTTTAGGATGAGATGGACCCAGAACTCAGTTTCCTCTTCAAGGGCATTAACAACTAAGCTACAGGGTAAAAGGCAGATGGCACAGTAGCGTAACTGGGGCATTAGTTACAGTGCAAGCTA